TGTGGATTAGGAAAACGAAATATACTCAGGAACATTAAAAGTGTTACATCCAGAAAAAAATTGTTTCCTCAACTAGATTTTTTGGCAATGAGGTAGTTTTACATCAAGAATGAAACGATAACATTCTCACAAAAGTTTATTGACGAGTAACAAGAAAAAAATTAGTGTGTTTTGTATACGTCTAGGCATCGAAAAAATATGATAGATGTCTGGTTGTAGCACCTCGCTGCAAGCGACTCGAACTTCGTGGATTAGCTGAGGCAGAGCCTGTGGCGGATGGTGCAAAATGGATAGTATCCTCCCCATCATATGCCACACATGTTCGATGGGATTTAAATCCGGTGAACGGGGAGGCTACAACAAAACATTAACGCCTGCTTCTTGAAGAAAGTACGTAGTTCGACGAGCAATATGGGTACATGCGTTGTCTTGTTGAAAAAGGACGTGTGGAAGGCCCTCTAGATACTGCAGTAAATTGGTTTGTAGGACATCAGCAACATAACGAGCAGTTGAACAAGGAGAAGAGGTGATCGGCTACCATTGGCACTAGCCCCCTAAACCATTACTCCAATAGTCCAGGTACATGCCTCTCATTAGCAAATCCAATATCACGCAGTTCTCCAGGGCGGCGTCTTACCCTTGTACGACCATCGTGAGTACCTAGACAGAATCGCGATTCGTCGCTGAAGATGACATTATGCCATTCTGCCTCCCATTGTTGCCGTTCTCTGTTCCAGTTCAAACGTTGACCATAGTGGTCCGCAGTCAGAGGAAGCACTAACCGTTGACGGTATGAAAAAAGTCCAAAGGCGATAGAGTGTACGCATAGTAACAGCTCTACCTTTTTCTCCAAACCAATGTTCAGCGATCTGTTTCGTAGTAGCAAAACGGTATCGTGAAGCTAGTTGTCTGAAGCGCCTATCTTGACGCCGTGTGGTACGCCTTGGTGGACAAGATGTCCTTCTTCGTGTTCCTCTACCTTCTTCTATCCACACACAACACACACGCATGACCGTCATTGCAGTACAATTAACACGGCGGCCAATTTCGCGATAGGACAAACCATCTCGTTAGGCAATTATTCTACCCCTGTCAATGTCGCTAACATGGTGATATTTTGGACGTCTTCGAACTCGAGGGATTTTGTTATGCTTGACACTAGTAAATCAAAGGGCAATAACTAAAAATATCTGTTGTACTCTCTCAGAAACTGCTTTCTTCACAAAAACTAAGAGATAACAAAGGTAAACAAAAACAAGGATAACACGTTGACAAAATGTAGTCATTATGTCGCCAAACAAGTTGAAGAAATTATTTTTTCTGATTGATTTCAACTTTCCGTACCGCAAAATGGATATACAGGGTGTTCGAAAAATAGATATTTCAGAGGGTGGTTCCTTGTTAAAAATATGAAAAAAGTTTCTATAAACATTGGTCCGGAAATGCAGAGTTTTCAAGATACAGGGTGATAAATTAAAAAAAATATTTTTTTACTGATATCTTAAAAAATATTGACTCGTTTCTGTTGAGATTTGACAATATTATTTGTTGTATTAAGGGGCTAATTTATCCCCAAATAGACTAAAACTATTAGGTCCAGTGGCGTCCCGGGGAGCACCTTAGCGAACATTATTGGCAAAAAAATGTACGCTTATTCTGTAACTTTAATATTTGTTGTTTGTTAAAGCATCTAAAAATACAACTTCATTGCCTCTCGTATTTTTTCGCATCACACTTCGTTTTCGAGAAAAAATAAAACCATTTTATTGCATGTTACTGGACAAAATTGGTTTATTAATTTTTGCTAAAAAGTGCCTTGAAAAACAAAAAAAAATCTAGGAAAGAGTGTTATTGCAACACGTAAGACTATACTTTAGCGTATATCGCAAATACTTCATTTCTTGTTTCAAAATGAAAGATTAGGATGTAACTTTTACGAAAATATCATTTTTTCTTTAGGGAACAATCTGCTTGCTATTTTCTGGAACTTCAAAGTTGCATTTTTGGTAGTAATACTCTAGAATAGAATACTGTTTTATATGCTGTCTTTGTTTGCTTTTTGTACAAAAGGATGCTCTAAATTATAAGAATATGACATACACTGTATAGTACTAAGGATAATAATAATAATAATAATATTTATTTACTCAATGTACAAGATAACAAACAATATGAGTAAATAAATATAAAATCAAAACAGGCCCAATAGAAGGCATCGCCTGTACATGGACCAATAATTTAAGTTGAAACTGTAGAATGCAAATGACAAAAAAGGACAAAAATTAGCTACAGTAGATTATGTATTTAGTTGATGTTCGTATTTATGAGTTTATGAATTTCAGTCCTAGATATAGAATGTAGCCACTTTTTTAAATTTCTTTTGAAACAATTTCCGAAACGTAAATCTTTTAAGTCTTTAGGTATAATTTCATAAAATTTAGGCGCTAAATAGAGATATGATCGCTGCATTATAGATTTATGCGGTTGAGGAACTACTGTGCCACGAATTTTGTACCTGGTATAATGATTGTTTAATTTTTTGGTCGGTGTTTACAAATTTAGGGTAGTGAGTGATACTGTGTAAGAAATAAAGCTGTCTTATATCATACATTCGAACATCTGCATATAATTTTTCAGTGGGATAAAGTTTCGGTTTTTTAAATATCATTTTTAAATCATTAAATCATTTTCAATTACATTTTTCAGATCAGACCAGTCAGTGCCTTCATATAATATTGCAGTATCATCTGCAAAACTAGTTATTTTGCCAACACAATTAATTTGGAAAATATCATTTAAATATATATTGAATAACAGCGAACCTAAGACAGTTCCTTGTGGGACACCACACTTAATATACATTTCTTTACTAAATGATCCTGATATCTGTACAGATTGTGGGCGATTTGACAAATAACTTTCGATCAGTGAGTACGCGTTTCCTCTGAAACCAATTCTCTCCAATGCTTCTAATAATAATTTGTGTCGAAAGCTTTCTTTAAATCAACAAAAATGCAGATTGAAGGGATTCTGTTATCAATATTTTGATATATTTGATTTACAATTTTAGTTATTGCGTCCGATGTAGCCTTCCCTTCTGTAAATCCATATTGATTTTCACTTAAAATTTTGAATTTTGTGAGGTATCGAATCATTCTAGTAGATAAAACTTTTTCAAAAACCTTTGCTACACTGGATATTATTGATATTGGTCTATAGTTGTTAACATCTGTTTTTGTTCCTGATTTATGTATCGGTATTATATTACCTTTTTTTTAAATTGAGGGATATATGCCAGATTCAAAGCATTTGTTGATTAGGTAAGTGAGTGGTTCTGTTATGTCCTCGGCTATAATAATAGATATGAAACTGTAAAAAATCGTTGATTTTTGCAAAAAAAGGTTCAAAACCAGACGTGCTTATTAGCTTAAATAACTAAATACTTGGTAAACTATGTAGAGGTGTTGCTTTGTGATTTTTCAATGTCTTCTTGAAATTCCTTAACCATTTTTTTCGCGTATTTTCAATGAGATCAAAGTTTCTGCGTTTATAAGAAATATTTGAAAGTATAAATAATTCTCAATTGCCATTTTATAACGCTCATTTCTTGATATATAAGATAAATGATGTCCATTACCAAGTTGTACCTTTTTTGGGAGAAATACGTAATTAGAAATGGGATTATTTGCAAAATAAAAGTCTTAATTTATTGTAAATGGCTTGTTTTATGAAAAGTTGTTCCAATATTTACCGAAAACTAGATTAAATTTTGAACAGTATGTCTAAGCAGGGGAAAACGCACCAGCGGCTGGCCTGACATAAAAAATACAAAAGACACCAGCGGTCATTGCATATAAAAATACTCAACGTCGATTCGTCGATTTGGACCACCTCGCCAGGTCCACCCAACATATCATCGTCCAACATTATAGTTAAATAAAGATCAACGATCATTTCATCAAATTATCAAAAAACTTGCAATGTTCTTTGTTATGTTTTCATTATTTAATGATTTGCAACAGCTACTTTTTCCGTTATTTCTCATATATATCACATTTAATTAGGTACATTTTGTAACACCAGCTTCACTTTAAATAATTCTTCAAGTACATACATACAAAAAGTAAATATATTATAACTGTAATATAGGAAAAACAATAACCGAGGCACTTTTGTGAATGGCATAAAGCATTCTTCAAAAAAGTCTCTCTCTCAAATCGCATTTTCATGACAATCCTGTACCGATTGCACATTTTTGCGCCAGTATATAAGTAAGAATTTGACAAACGAAATTAAAATATATATTACTATCCATGATTCGGCAACATCGCAACTAGATGGAGACAATATGACAGTGACGGTGGTGTAGTGATGGGAATAATTATCTGAAATAAAATAAATGTCTACTTAACAATGAACTATTTTCATCATTAAAATAATGCAAAATTGCATTATTGCGATGAACAGTATCACAGTAACTTACTGTGTATGTTATATTTTGAACAATTTTTGTATAAACAAGTAGAAAACAGCTTATAAAGCAGTATTACCACACAAAATGCAACTTTGAAGTTCTATAAAATAGCAAGCGGAGGGTTCCTTAAAGAAAAAATGATATTTTCGTGCAAGTTACATCCTAATCTTTCATTTTAAAATAAGAAATGAAATATCTGCGATATGCGCTAAAGTATGCAACTTTTCCAATAGGTACCATGACATAAAGTACACTACAACAAACTAATTTTTTAAATGTATCACCCTGTATGTTGAAAACTCTGCATTTCCTGACCCATGTTTATAGAAACTTTTATTCGTATTTTTTAACAAGAAATCACCAGTCCAAAGACTTGAAGTCATGTTCTATTTAGCAAATAAACTTGCTGTAGAAGAGAGAGCATTATCCTTGCTAAATCGAACGAAATGTACCAGGAGTTGAAAATATGTATAAAATTGTATGCATTTTTTAAGGTATATTTAATTTTATTTCTATGAAACAACAGGCTATGCCTCAACGAATGCCTCAGATGGTGCAAGGCCCTCCGGCAATGGGAGTTCCCCCACAAGGAGGCATTCCGCAGCCGCAGGCAGTGCCTCAGGCGCAAATCCCCGGACAGGTTCCGGGACAATTCCAACAACCTGGGCCCCCTCAGCCTAAAGAAGAGGCACAAACAGCAGAGCTAATCAGTTTCGACTAAGGTGATATCTATAAACGCTATAAATTATTTACTAAATTGTATGTTTATCTTTGATATGGATGGAAGCATGCAATATGCACGCACAGTAGAGGAAATTGAGGTATACAAATAAACTTAGTCTCAGCCATAGAGAAATATGAATAATGAATTGCGGTATGAAATACAGGGGGTGTCCAGTGGGAAAGTTCAGTTTTTGAGTAAAGCAAAAAATACAAACTTAATGTAAAAGAAAATATTTATTACTATCAACATATTCTTAAAATCGGCGGCTATTATTTTTTAAATATCATTCCGTCCAAATGTTTGCCATCGCTTCGGACACGCGCGCGCAAATTCTGAAACACTCTCTTACAAATTAGTTCATTCGGAAAAGTCGGTGAACGCCAAACTGGCAAGCGAGCTCAGGGGTCAAAATTCAACTGGACTATTACTGAATCACCCCACCATGTAGTAAGAGATCGTCTGTCTACGCATTTTAGCAAAAAAATTGCAAAGACCTTTTTTGATGTCCCAAAAATTAGAAAAATGTACGTTTAAAAAAAACCCAGATATCCTCAGCTGTTTCAGCGAAAAAGAGGTTTTTTGGTTTTTTCACTGTTTTACAAAAAAAACGGCTGGTTTCCGGAACACCAAATTCATACAACAATATTCGCAATCCTTCACTGGACTATTGTCTTTAAGCTCCTCCAGTGTTCGTGGATTATTGGAATACACTTTTGACTTTAGATAATTCCACAAAACATGATCGCATGGCGTGAGGTCGGGTGACCTAGGAGGCCAGTGCATGTGTCTCCAAACTTCGATATAACTTTTTGAGGAAAAAGTGCGTTCACCGTGTCCATCGATTCTCTGGAAGTAGGGGCAGCGGCCCCATCCTGTTGAAACCATGTGTTTCTGTTAAAGCGACGTTCTGTTCTCACAATAGGAGCAAAAAAAGTGTCAATCATGTCCATTGTATCGCTCATACCGTTTCCATCTTCAAAGTAATACGGCCCAATAATACCGCTAGAGGATATGGCGTGCTAAACAGTCACCTTTGGACTATTAGCTGTTGTTGATATCTCTCTTTTAAGTTTGTTGGTACCCAATATCTGCAAGTTTGCTTGTTCACATAACCGTCTAAGTGGAAATGGGCATCGTCACTGAAAACGACGTTCGGAGATCTGCGCTGTGTAGGAAAAAAATTCAACATCCGTTCAGCACAGTACGTAATCACTTTCCTTTAAAGCATGGACTGATTGGATTTTATAAGGATGAAAATAGAGTTTTTGCTTCAGTATGCCAGGATGCGGAATGTTTCCGTACAGAACGCCGAGGATTAGCAATGACCAAATCACTTACTCCACGCACATTTTCATACAGTAGGTGTGGGGCCTGTTTCACGGAACATCGTAATCCACTTTTCCAATAGGTTCTTACTTGGGGCGTCTCTAGGTCGGCGAATGTTGTATCGTGTACAAAATTTCCGAAGGGCAGCTGCGTATGAATCACCAAGTCAGCCTCGATAGCAAAAGCACGTTGCGCTCCGGTCCAACGTTCCATTGTGACTATTTAACCCGCCGCCGAACGCGTCGATCAAGACCTCTCCGCACTTCCGCGCGTATACGGTTGTCGCGTAATTCAAATTTGAAATCTGAACGTTCCCACTGGACACCCTGTATTAATTATTCATTACAGTTTTAGTTTCATTGATTTGCGTCATGTATGCAGCAAATTGGAAAAACTGAACAACAGATAATCATGACGTCAGCATATTTAAATGATTTCTCGTCGAGAAAACTTTGAGTTTTCTAAAAATTGTGATTATTATGTGATTGCTTGTATCTCTGATGCGATTGGGGTAGATTTATGAATTTTATTGCATAATACAATCTAAAATAATCTCTATCAAAATTCAGATTTTTTTATTTTGGGAACTGGTGTTATTGTAGAGCATTTCAAATTTTCAGGAAAAGAACTGCTTTTCAGTGAACAATTGATCCAATTTAATACAGGATGATAAAACTTTTTTCCATAAATTTCAAATTGATTTTATATTTCGTTCATGACTTACCAGTTAAAGTTTGATATTTTCTGTAGGTTTGAGTGGACTGCGAAATACTGTGTAATCATAATAAGATTGCGAATTATTTTCAATTTTTGTGGTTCTGCATATTCTATTCCTAAGGGCCGTATCGTCAGTCGTTTCTACTATTTTATGATGGCTTTGCGTCTTCCTTGATTTTCATAGTATTTTCTCTCTCACATAACCTCAAAATAGAGCACTGACACGGAACATTAGAGATCTAGAAATACCCCAGTCTTTCTGAAGGACAGGAAAAACTATGAAAATCAAGAGGGCTATAAAGGTTCCTACAATAATTTATTGGTATATCCATGGTTTGCAAACTTTATGAATGTATGTTTACAAAGGAATTAATAGAGGTGCCCTACAGCCTTGAGTGATTTTCTTAAAATTCGTAACAAATACGTTGCCAAATAAACGAGCGAAAACATGAAATCTAATCATTATTACCAGATCTTATTGCAACAAAAATTACATGATTTAAGTATTCGCACTTTTGTTTATTATTCGACTGAATGTGACGAGTATAGGTATTTCATAAATTCAATCAGGTGTTTTTGAATTATTTTAGACAATTCCAAAATACTAAATCCCTTGAAGATTTACCAGAATTTATAGTTATTTCTTTGAAACAAATATCTCAAAATAAATGTTGATGAAATATTACATTATTTTTTTTCGCCAAATAATCTGTATCAATAACTTATATAATGTTAATATTGATATTTCATAATCGTATTTATTTCAAAACAGATGACAATCGTTGAGGTTACAAGAAATGCTGGTACTGAAATCCTCATTATTTAAATAAACTTGAAAAGCACCATCTTTTGTACCGTGGACTATTATGATGAATGATTGTTCTCTATGTATATTGTTTATATTGAAGCTGAGTAAATAATAACATATATATGCTTGTGTAAAATGTATTATATTCCAAATTGTAGGATTATTGTAATTGATTATCAACAGAATTGTTAATAAATATTATACTTTCAACAATTATGTTTTTATTCATGTCAGTAACTCAGAGCTGTATTCTGTAGCTATCAACAATGGTCATATCTCAAACAACTATTTTTTTATTTGAGGTTGCTTGAAATTGTTCTTTTTGCAACTCTTTAGCCTGCATTATTATTGCAGCAACTTTCGTTAACTGCGTCTTACAAGTATCTCAGCTTTAGAAGGGAGATCTACAGAGTTACATGTTTTGTCGACATTTTCACTTCTACAAAATTAATGAACACATTTAAACCAATTTTGAATTATAATACAGCACTTGTTTCATGACCATTGTTTAAAAGCCTATGTTCGATTTTTCAATGTTTGCAGTATTTTTTTATTAGTCACAGAACAACTGCTCTGAGTTCAGATTTGAGCAAATGATCAGCCACCCTTCTTCATCCCTTGACATTTCAGCCCGTCTGGACTAACTGCCATATAGCAAAATACTCCAGCACCTGGTATTTGTTTTGCAGAGATGTAAGCCCTTCCATCAGGAGATTTGTGTTGCAAGATAGGGCTGATCGGTCCCATTCTAGGCAGATATGGGATCTGAAAATAGTAAATGCAACGGTAGATTCATGAAAATTCAACACAAAACGTTAGACAGAGCCTAAGGTGTTATTTCTGTGGTGTTGCATATACAGAACTAACACAATTGATTACATGTTAAAATTGTCCAATAGCTATTTTCAACAACAAAATGATAAACCATGGGCGTAGTGAAGAAAAGCATTAACTTATTAAGTAAATTCTTTTAGTCAAATTTCTTCTGAAAGTAGTACAAACTAATCTGATGTACCTATTAAAGTCTACTTTAAGCTTTAAGTCAATAAATCTTCAAAACTACTGAACTGAAGCTTATGTATTTTACATCATTATAAAGACCTTTGAAATAAGGTACCACTCGACTCCCCTTTCCATTTAAGATTTTAGGGTTGTGTCACCCCCGGCCAGGGGGCTGCACGTGTTAACGTGATTTTTTTCCAAACTTGTATCCCCCTCGAAAACAAAATCGACGGGTCTGAGCGTTTTGCCAAAAAAAAAACCTGAGCTGCCAGTAAATGCGTCTGTTTCGCTTTCGATGCGCCACCCTGTACATATATTGATAGTCTGAGGATCACTATGAACTCATTATTTCAAAAATTGCCAAAAAAACAAAATACTTTTATGTGGCTTCTCATAGTCTTGGTACCTATTCCAAGAAAATAGTTTATAATACAATTATTCTATCGCATTTACTATATTGTTCAAATATCTTGTTCACTGCCAATGAAGCTGTATTCTCGAAATTACAAGTCTTGCAAAATAAAGCTATCAGAATAATATTGAATAAAAATAAGTACACCAAAATAAAATCTATGTTACAAGAATTGCAGTGGTTGAATATAAAAAATTTCATATCATATTTGGTTCTTATTTTTATATTTAAAACAAAAAATCATCTTTTGCCATAACATTTAGAATACATACATAGAATTGAGTAATCATTACCACAATTATTTGCAAAATTGCAATAGTAATATAACTAGCAAATCAATATTTCAGAAAGGATAACTTGAATTTAATGAACTAAATAATGATATAAGTCTACTTGCAATTTAAAGATATTTAAAAGAAAATTAAAGGAATATTTCATGGACAATGAAAATTCTTAGAGATGCAAATTTTGATATTTTTTTCTGAATGTCTGTATGTTATGTAATTGTTTATTTTTTTAGAAGAATGTAATTGTAGCAATTATGCTAAATAAATCTTAAACAAACAAACATTCAAAGGGCATTTTATAGTAAAATACACGAGTTTACCTTTCCGGCATGAAGCACAAACCATTGTGAAAGATAGTTTATATTTTTATGTGAAAAACAAAGGGTTAAGTTTTTTCTTCTAAACAAATTCAGATTCCACAAAATATGAATGCTGAATGTATGGAAATGTTCTCAATATTACTGAATAAGGCATGGGAAGAAAAACGTACCAGATGACTGGAATAATAATTCCAATATGTCAGAAAGGTCTCACCATAGACTGTAGCGTCGAAATCTCGTACTACTGAAACGACTGCGAGTTCAAAATGTTGGAAAATAAACTCGAGAAAACGAAAAAACTGACAAATATCAATCATTTTTTGGCGAACTGACCGTCTGAAAAATTAGGCAAAATGCTCGGTCCCTAATACATTGTCTAAGGATTCAGCGTTGTATCTTGTATGGTTCTCAAGAGTATTCTAATTGTTTATAAAAGATTTGATACGAGTCCAACGTTCACTCGACATTGGTGAGTGCAAGTACAGGGTGTCCGCAAAGCTGGGGTTTTCCTTTACAAGACGTGTAGATCTTGAAAACATAAGCAATTTTTCTTAGTACCAAGTACCATATACACCAATGTCTTAAGGGAACCGAGATAAAGGGCTCTGCAACATCAAAAATATCTGAATACCGTCCTGTAGCCGCGACTCGCGACATCCCCGAGTGGTACTAGGACACTAGCTCAACCCGACGACAGAACCGGGTAGGGGTCAGTGTGTCAGGTAAGTATGCAACCTTCAACCGGCGGTTACGGTCACGCGTGTAGAGGTAAACGAACCCGTATAATCAATTGCGTTTCAAAAAACAACAAGCACTAAAGACGTGGCTAGAGAAATGCAAGTATCAAAAACTAAAGTGTGGCACACGCTGCGTGAAGAGGGGCTGTATCCGTTTCACGTCCAACGTGTACAAGCACTTCAACCTGACGATTTTCCAGCAAGAGTGCGGTTTTGTGAGTGGTTGTTGCATCAACATGACAATAATCCGGTGAATAACTTTCGCAACACTCATGTTTGGTCAGTAGAAAATCCGCACGCTGTCCGTCGGGCACATTTTCAACAAACATTTTCGGTGAACGTTTGGGCTGGCATGGTGAACGGTATGCTCATTGGACCATTTATTCTCCCAAATCGATTGGACGGATTAGACGGGATGCAATACCTAGACTTTTTACGCAACATTTTGCCTTCCTTGTTTGCCTGCGTCTGCTCGGTAGCGCATCAGCTGATTTCATTTTCTGTTGGAGCGGTATGATTTCGGGCAGAGACGTACTTAGCCCTTCTCGTCAACTGGAGAGTGAGTACTTTTTCCTTTATTTTCTTTTTACTTGGTCGCCCTCGTTTCACTACACATTACATTTGTTATTTCAAGAGTAGTTGTTTCTGAAAATGAAATCCCCAACTTTGCGGACACCCTGTATAGTGGTATAAAGATGCTGTAAACCAAGAGACGTCGTAGCGTAATGGAAGGGAGTAACGATTGTAGAACCGCAGGACGGAGGTTCGAATCCACGAAGCCAATTTTTTTTTAATTTGGAGAAATAGATGTTTTTTCACATTGTGTTAGTTACCTGATTTGCCATCAAATTACCCAGACATTCGGCGAGGTTAACCAATTTGCCACTATCTGGAGGGGGATTCACAAATGGACCATGCAAGAACTGATTGCGCACTTGGATTCGCATCAGTTGAATATACTCGTTTTTTCGTTTGCACGATTCTAAATCATCGTCAGACAAGCCGCTTAGCATTCTACACCATTCGACACATCTCACCCTATCTGAAGATAAAAATATTCTGCTTCATGAATCTGCTTTACCATGCTTCACAGCGATAACTTACCAAACGGGCTTTCTAAGCTGTGCGAGTGATTGGCAATATCTTTAAGGGCGTTTCTAAATTCTGTGATGTCTTTGGTCCCCATTTATTTCAGGTTCCTACTTGCAATTTTGGGGTTTTACAAAAATTTGGTTCGTACGTTACAAAAATTATATTTCAAATTTGACAAGTACCTACTAAACATATAAGTATGATGTCGCATTTGAACTACCAAACGATTAATGCTGGACTTTTTTGAACTACCTAGATTCATCTGTCAAAATCGGATTATCTGGCGGTAAAAACGATCGGCAGGGGTACCACGTATCTTGAAAAGTGACATCATGCCGATTTTTTTTTTGACATTATGCTGTTTTTTGACATTATGCTGTTTTTTTTGACATTATGTACGTTTTTCGCCAAGACGTTGACTTAGCACTTAGTTGTACGTGTTGCCTAAATGTCATGAGGCTTGTTATCAATCTTTGGCTCTGATGTGATGTAAAATCTGCTTCTGAGATGGTATTATTGGAGGTCTAAGCTGTAAGTTGTATGTGTTGATGATAATTGCATTGGGTTCTTGTCTCAAATGCACTTAATTGAGATTCAAAGCTAGAAATTAGTTGCGCATCTACTTTTTCTTATCCATTTGGAAATTACATATACAAATTTGCTAAATATAAAAAATGAAAGAGATAAGAAATAATTATATTCATTGTACCCTGTCGAATTACAAGCCATATACATGCTAACAGTATTTAACAACGCGGGCGCGGTGATGATTTCCCGTAATTCTCAGTTTTTCGTAATTTATAACTTTGAATATACATTGATATACTTCATTGGCAACATATTCAGTAATGATTTTCTCACACAGCAAATATCACTGATTTTATACATATGCAGACCAATACACATTATCATCCAGATGCGATCTTGCTATTCAACCAACTTTCTTCTCAGAGATAAAAGCTACAGACCCGGATCACTCAGACTCACAAAACTATGCAACCAATAATGCGTGGTTTAGTTGAGTGATTCCTCCATAGATGGACGTTCACAACGATCCTAGTTGAGCAAACGTGGAATGACTGTTTGCGCCCTAAAAACTACTTAGTCTGCAAGTTGACATCTTATAGGTTTTTTTGACGTTTTATAGGTTTTTACATGATACCCATGCCGGTCTTATAACCAAACTGATAACCACATTCGCTTGAACGGATCGGTAAATACCAATCCGAAATGGTAAATACCATTTTCATTTGGTTATCCGCTTGAATTTAGGTATATTCTTTAATACACCGGTTGAGCTACCGGTGCAACTGGTTAGCGAATTTTGCGTCCTTTAATTTCCGCTGGAACGACCGGTTGCATATCAAACTTGTTTTTATATTGATGGTGGATATGCCACCGGTGCGAACAGCTTCCACCGACGTTTGGGCTCGGTTGATCCACGATATTCTAACCTCTACATTTTATCAGTTTTTGACAACTACAGTTTTGTGTGAAAAAGATGGAAGAAGAAAAGATTGAAGTTTTTCTACAGCATAGGAGTCGCGTGAAATTTAATGTTTTTTCCAACACAATTCGAAATAAACAGAGCATCTGAAAGCAAGTCAATTTGTTTTGAATTACGTATATCGACGATCCCAAATCAATACCTCGTAAGTCCGAAAATGTCGATTTTCTGGTTCCTGTATGCATACAAGAATGCTCTCAGAAAATCCATACCGATGGTTCTTATTCGGAAAGCATCGACGATCTCAAATCAATGCCTCGTATTGATTTGAGATCGTCGATATCTGAAAATTTCTTGGTTTTCTGATTTATAGTTCTTATATTGATTCTCGGAGAGCAAATTCTCTCCGCTGGATAACTTCTTCATCCGAATTATTACTCGAATCGCTTAACAAACGTTCCACGATAATACCAACTGCTGCGTATATTGGCATAATGTTTTAAATGATACGGTGTTCAAATTAACAAGTATCCATTTACGATAAAACAAAGGTTAGGTTTTCTGATATGACAGCAACCTGAAGGCTAAAATGCGTCTTTTTATTAACAACCAATCACTGGAACCGTTTGCTGACGTCATCACATCAGCTGTCAACCATAAGCTCACCGGATCCATCAGTGATGGAAACAACCGGTGAATTAAAGAATACACCTATTGATTTTTGATTTATATGTTTTGTGACAATGACGTCATCTCCCAAATAAGGTAAGTCAACAAATCCATGGATCACTCTTAACTCTTCCTTATCAACCCTTTAATCAGCCCCATGTTACTGGAAGCGCCTTTAAAATTTTTGTGAATACCTCGAAAATGTTGCGCGAGAGGCTCAGTGGACGATACCGTATTGGTAGCCCTAGCGGTACTCCGAAAAGCAGATATAACCTCTATGATCATGAAGAACAACCAGTGATAACAGAACAGAAATTAGCTTTACTGGGCTTGCTCCTCTCTGTTGTTGTGATTTCTAGTAAAGTTATCACTAACTACAGTAAGTATAATATATTTATTACAACGTATAACAAATTATGTTATTTATCAGTATACTTTTCCCATAACAATTAATTGCTGTTATTTAGTGAAGGTTGTATATATTTATTACCTTCAGTTAGCTCTTCTTCCAGACCTTTTTTGTTTCGCAAAGTGTATAATTGCTTGGCCATTAGATCTGACCAAGTTAAAATTGTACTTATGTTTCAGGAGAAGTTATAGCTAAAGCAGTCTTAGAGCGTAGGCTGATTTCTCATGAAATATTAAGTGACGAGGGGAACGAGGTGTTAGTATATTCATGGAAAACTGTCTTGAAGTATAGCAATATATGGTTACCAGCATTGTTTGGGTTTTTGAGCAGCTATTTTACATGGATGATGGTCTACTTGGATTCTGCTGTGCCTGGAGTTCAGCCTCCAAGCCCTCTATCTCCTAAAAGATATAAGTAAGTTCGTTTATATTTCGTATCTCTGCATGTATGAAAGCGAATAGGAACTCGGGTGCATTCTTGTTAGAAGTAGGTTTATAACCAATGAAACATGTTCCTTTACTGAACAAAAGCATCATTAGGCCCAAAGATCTCGATCTCAAACTGTAAAGCCTTACAGATGTTAATTTTTTACAAGCAAGTAGGGTAGAAACATCTAGATGTAGATGTTTCAATTATACATTTATTAACCTCATTGACAAATGTCATATCTGGCATACTATCTGTTCGGGTTTTTACTTTTACTGTTTCTAGAAGAAAAACTATTGCACTTCCTCAGTGAACTTTTATTAGTCCTTAAAACACAATGACAACTCCTTAGCAACTACCCTTGTCAATCTTTCAGACACCCGAATACTCGAAGTTACATCAAGTACACTATAACTAAACTTTGTAATTTCTTATTTTGAAATTATTCTTAACACCTTCTCCTAATTACAAGATAAGATTACTACACAATATTACAATTTTTTTTTACAGTTCACATGTCAAAACATCCCTGAATTTTTCAAATTTGTTTACACTGAGTGGTTTTAAAACATCTGCTACTTGATATTCTGAAGGAGTATAAACCAAGTTGATCAATCTGTCCTTCACCTTTACATTTATGAAGTGAAATCTCACATCTATATGTTTTGATTTTCTGTTAAACTGATTATTTTTAACTAATCTGATTGTCCACATTTAATGACACGTCATCATTTCAGTTCTTCGAATAAACACTTTAAATACAATAGTTCTTTAACACATTCTGAAGCTGCTATATATTCAGATTCAGCACTTGACAACGATCCTATTGGTTGCATCCTTGAGCACCATACAATAGGTCCACCACAGTACATTACAACATAGACAGTAGTACTCTTCCTTGTTTCCAAATCACCAGCAAAGTCAGATTCACTGTATGATACTACTTCACTTCCATCGGAGTCTTTATAAAATTTTATTCCATAGGTTTCAGTCAATTTCAAGTAGCGTAGCACTCTCTTCATATTTTCTACATCTCTGTTAGAGGGATTTTCCATTTTTCTGCTCCCATAGCCAAGAGCATATGCATTACAGTGGACCTCCGGTAATCCAACAAACATTATGCAGAGCAGTGTCAGAATATCAAATTTGTCGGATTATACAACACTGCCTCCTATAGTCTGGAATTATTACAAAAGAATACCTTGTAATCCGACAAATTACATATCCAATGGTAAGATTATATATGTTATGTATATGTATGTACTTTGAAGTACAAATCATACATAGTTTATGTATGTCAAATTCAGTAAATTAAATAACAATAGAGAGCTTACGTTTTATTATAAAATTAAGCATAAATGCACATACATATGTACTAAAATAATAAAGAATTATTAATCAAAATCATTAATGAATTTATCAAATTATGAAGCTTGGAAATATTCAATTTTTTTTTGTTTAAGGTTGTTATGACGCGAGATCAGAGCTTTGTCCCTCAGTCTTCTCAAAGGTAAAAGTTCGTTGTAGGATGTACCATTCTCTTCAGCCCATTGTAAACCCAGCTCAAAGGCGTTAATTGCGTCTTGTGCTGTGACTTGCGGAGCAGTTGCAATCACGTCGTCGTTATTTTCCTGATTGTTTGTTGTATAATTAGAAACCTCTTTTATATTCTCTTCGTCAGACATTTCATGAAAAACATTTTCCTCTTTATCCATTCCACGGCACCAGATTTCCAAATCTTCCGGACTTATCTGTGTTTCAGTAGCGACTTGTTCTATAACTTCTGAAGTAACATTGATTTGTGGAACGTTGCTAGGTGTGGTGACTATATCTGGACATATCTTTTTCCAAGACGATTTAATAGTTGATGATGGTAACGCATTCCACGACTGACAAAGAGCAAAAACCAAGTCCTTCATATTAAATTCTTTTAAAGTGTTTTCTATTGGTTGGTCTTTTGATACGGCTCTCAGAAGTAGGTTTTTCTGATAGCTTGACAAGCTAAATGATATTCTGGTCCATTGGTTGAATCAGTGCAGTGCAATTTGACGGAAGAAACATCGCAGTGATGCATTTATCCTCAGTTGTTAGTTCTTCTTCAGACGGCTGACCGGGAGCATTATCAAGAAGCAACTACGCTTTTTGAGGAAAATTATGATCTTTTAACCATTTTCTAACTTCAGGTACGAAGCTTTCATCAAACCACTTTTTGAAAAGGTCTTTTGTCATCCATGCACTTTTTTGTCAGTAATAGTGTACAGGTAAATCAATGTTTTTGAATGCCCGTGGTTTATTAGATTTCCCAATGACCATCATCTTAAGCGCGTGTGTGCCCGCAGCGTTAGCACATGGTAGTATGGTTACACGTTCTTTACTTACTTTTCGTCCAGGTACGGATTTTTCGTTACAAGAAACGAAAGCTTTGTTAGGCATCACACGCCAAAAAAGCCCTGATTCGTCTGCATTGTACACCTGTGACGGGTCAAAATTTAAATGGTTCACCTTTTGCAAAAAACGTAATTTAGAGAGCTCTATGCAGGTGGCATCTTTAGAAAGTTTCTCTCCTGTAATAGTCATTAAACTTATGCCATGACGACTTTTAAAACGTTGTAGCCATGCTTTGCTGGCCACAAAATCATCTTGTTTTGTTATTTCCTTATAAAAAAACTTTCATGGCCAACATGGGTCCTGAAATTGGTGCATGCCTATTTCTTTCCTGAAGAAACCACATGTACAAAGCTTCTTCCACTTCTGGATGTTCAGCTTTCTTGAGTGTCTGTCTCTTGCCTGGCCCGCAGTCAGTAGTTGACACGAACTTTTTGATCTTCTCACGGTTTCTTTTAATGTCATAAATTGTAGATAGGCCTACTCACTTGCTAAACTACTGAAAGTTTCATTGAGATTTAGGCGGTCTAAAATATCACATTTTTCTTTAATTGTCAATGTTTTGTGCTTTCGTTTCTGAGTTTGTGATGACATTACTAGGTACTATACTTAATACACAATGAATAAATAGTAAACAATGAACACACGCTAGGCCGTACCGCTATCAAGAGTAGTCAAATCCAAACTCAAGTAAAACAATGCTTACGCGTCGAGCACGATAGCGGTGGCGCGTACAAGTTGTAACCTGTTCAAACCTGCGTGATCTACATTAGCGAAGATTGTCAAATACGTATGTAGGTAATACATATTCAAAGACATGTCGGATTACAGGGGGCGACGGATTAGACAGAAGCCGGATTATCCATCATCATTTATTGTGAAAACCCGTTTGCTGGAAAAGATTTTCTCATTTTCCACATCATTTTTATAAACATATTCACAGGTATCATTTTTCTGCAATGATTCTTTTTCATCTATGATGGCTTTCTCCCATTTTTGTTTGTCTTCACCAATCATAGCTTCTGTATATGTTAGCGTCACATATTCTTTAAATCTTCTTAGTAACCTTATTTCTCTTCTAGGGCTTTGTTCTTCTATGCCTTCTCCTGAGTCTCCAGCACTTTCTACTTGCTCTTCTGCATATTCATCTAATGAGCTTCCTGGGATTTCATTTTCTAGATCTTCACTAAATTCTTCTAGTTTCACATGATAATCACCTTTTTCTATTATTTTTCTTTCATTAAACACAACATCTCTTCTTATTAAAATGTTTCTTTGTTCATCATCCCAAAGTCGATATCCATTCAATGCATAACCAACGAAAATGTATTTCTTACTTCTAACATCAAATTTTTTTAGTTTTCCAAGCACTTTTGCATGAGCTTCACTTCCAAAAATATGTAAAGTGGACAGGTTTGGTCTTCTACCCATCCAACTTTCAGCTGGTGTTACTTCCAAAGCTTCACTTAGACTTCTATTTAATATATAAGCAGAAAATCTTACAGCTTCTGCCCAAAATGTTTTATTCACTGATGACTCAAATAGCACTGCTGTTGCCTTTTCCATTATTGTTCTATTGAGTGTCTCCGCTTTACCATTAAGTTGTGGGGTATAAGGTATTGTGCAGTCAAGAACTATCCACCTATTTTTACACCAAGCTTTAAGTTCATGATTCATGTATTCACCTCCATTATCACAGCGTATTTTGGACACTTTAAGATTGTGAGTAGCCTCCACTTCTTTGACATATGATTTTAACAATTCTGGAACTTATATTTATTTGAAACCTCCACATTTCAAAGCTTTCACTGTCTACCAGTTTTTCAATATTTGGAGTTTATTCGTTGCTTGACTCCATTTTTGTTTTTCCGGTTTTAATTTTCAGCTGTCAATGTCCTTGGTTTGCTTTCACTGATTTTTTCTTTCTTCTCATGCACTTGCGTGAACTGGGCCCATAACCTGTTCGGATTTTTACTTTTACTGTTTATAGAAGAAAAACTACTGCACTTCCTCAGTGAACTTTTATTAGTTCTTAAAACACAATGACAACTCCTTAGCAACTACCCTTGTCAATCTTTCAGACACCCGAATACTCGAAGTTACATCGAGTACACTACAACTTAACTTTGTAATTTCTTATTTTGTAATTATTCTCAACACTATCAGCTATTTTAAGTGATATATCAATCATAACTGGCATAACTGTTACTGACAGTTAAGATCAATAACAAGCTTGCACAGGTGGTGTTTTGGATCCGGTTCTGAATGTCTAATGTTAACCCATGAAAATAGCATAACCTCTTCCTATTCTTTTGTCCCTTTTGTGTTTGTTTGTGTCATCTGTGACATGATTTTCAGTAAAAATATTATCAGTTAATCAAATGATATCACATGACAATAAGCATAGAACTAATTAGTGTCTATGGAGTCATGCATTATGCTGTTTGTGCAGAATTTCAAAAGTAATTTTATGCGTTGTTAATATCACAATAAAATATTTACTTATATATGAATTATATTCATATAATCGTTGGCATTGGACCTTCAAAACAGTTGCATATTGCAACCATGTTCTCAGCTTTCTGTTCTGTGTCAGCATGCCAAATGTCAGAATAATTAAAGGCATAATGAAGTAATAGCCATGATTTATCAAAGTTCATCACTTAAAATTGCCTTATATTTTTCATGATATTTTATTAGGTCATATGTGATAGCAAACAGCAGCTGATTATTTCATTTCTTGAATACCCTATACAGGGTGATTAACAAGTTGTGACCAAAAATGAAACATTTACTATTTTTCCAAATAAAAATAGTACATCACTGTTTTTTTCGATTTTTACCTTCAATTTGATACAAATAATTTCTCTTGTGTTTTTTCCGTTTGCGTAAAAATAAAAAAAGAAGAGCAGAGATACAATTAGTTTCAAAATAAAATTGGAGGCCTTGATACTAACTTGACGTTTCTTTCTGGTTGTTATCATTACTACTACCATTTTTTTTGTTTTTGTAAAAGTAAAGCCAAGGATTAGTACACTTACATTATTTTTGTGTACGGGTTCTGTAATGGAAATGCTTTAGCGGCTTCTTGGGAGTAAAAACGTAGATTTCCTAACAGACGCCACCCTACCCCTAATAAGGGCTTTTCGGCGCTCATTTCTAAGACTTCGGCAATATCGGCAAGCTGTGGTTATCTAATTTGTTTTTTTTTTATTTTTACGAAAATAATTTTTATTTGGAAAAATAATGCCACTAATCCCCTGTATCTCCGCCACTGGTGCATGTTAATTTTAAGTAATGACTTTTGAATGTGGATAATACTTAGGTAAATCCACATACCAAGTTTTAGTTCATTTCAGTTGACGGTTTTGAAGATATTAAAAAAAATATTTTTAAACTTCTAACTCCATATCTATTTAATGAAGTGCTTGAGGAAAAAATGTTACATAGCAGGCTGTGCTATGTAACATTTTTAAGGGCTCCTTTAAAATGCGGTCCTGTGTATGATGTTTAATTTTTGGTCACAACTTGTGAATCACCCTGTATATGTTTTTTTAAACTTCTATAGAAGCTAAAGCTGAAACCACATTGTATTTGCCTTTTTGTATTCTTTATCAGCTTTTTCAGCTTTAGCTCGAAAGACAACAAAAATCACAAAACAACAAACTAAGAAAATAGACCAAATATCAGGATTATATTGGGATTGGGATGTTGTTTTTTTTTTCTTGTTGTATGACATGTAGATCTTTTAAAATCAAGTCATTCATTTCTGTCAGTCTGTCAGCTGATCCTTGACCCATCTTTAACGTGGACAGTACTGCTCGGATTTTGATCAAATTTTCACACAATGTTACTACTTTGCCAAGGACGAAAACGCTTTGTAGTTTTTGAAAATCAGATAGTGAGGGACAGAAGCTGAAAGAATAAAAATCGCTCTACTTTGTTTTCTGACGTTTTGTAGGCTCCTATCGTTTTCGGAAAAATTTTGTATCATCATTCCTTTCCTGGGGGTTTGCTTATAAAAAAATTGTCATATCAGACCTAAATTCGTGTAATTACAACGTGATATATACAATTCAAATTTTTTACAATATTACATGATTGCGTTTTTTTCTAGGGAGCAGTCCGGACACACTTTTCATCTGAACTATGTATTTTCCATAATTGTAGGAATATTAGTATTTTCCTATATGTACCTGAAAGGAGTCTCTATTGAATATGAGGAATAAATTTGTGTACCTATTTAAGTAGTTTGTTGATACACTAGCTATAAAAATAGTTGGATATTGACACTCGCAAATTAAAATTTGTATTATTCTTGCTGTTGAGAATATATGACTAATTTTTCGAGATAGTGTATCAAGATTTGTTATCAGAAGTATTTTTGAATATCCATGGCAGCTTATTTCCAAAGTATTAAGCTTCTTTGTATAAATCAAGACAGTAATATTTATACATGACATATATTTATTTTAAAAACAATATACTGACATTGTTGGCATAGAAAAATTATGAAAAATAATTGTTACAATTCAGATAAATATCATATATTTTAGAATTTTGTTATATGGCAACTATTTTTGGCAATATAATTATTTTTTATAATTCTACTAAACTGAAGTAATAACTGTATTCGTAATTGGAGCATTTATTTATTGTATTGTAATTTTACTTATTTTGAAGAATAAAACAAAGTGTATAACAAATAATCTTAATTTTTTAAAATACCAATACCAAACACTGTCTGAACTGTGACATGTCAGATTTTAGTTTGGGCAACCATTGAAATCAGAAGTTATCGTTCCAGATTTAATCCAATATCTTTTATCCCTGCAATCTGGCGAAATTCGAATGAAGCTCTGGAGGAAGTGTACATATTATTCGGAAAATACCTCTGAAAAGAGTTACTGGACGAGAATATGGGTCGTGTCAAAAAAATGTCAATTTCTTATTTGCGAAAAATAGGGTTATAAATAATTTTTTGTTTTATTCATGTAGTTATTCTATCGCGCTAAGAGAATGAACTTTTTCCTAGTCGTCACTGTCTGTCAGAGCGGTCCGTAGGAGCTTTGCTCTTGGTTGAAGTCTTGTAAGTCAGTAGGTCTGTCCAAGGTCTGGTTGCTCAGATACCAATCAAAGTCAGGGAGAAAGAAGGGAAGAAGGAAGGAAAGAAAAAAGAAGTGCGTCAATTTGAGGGGTGCCTTGGCATTGCTAATTAGTATTTGGCAATTTTAAATTGATCCTAAAATTAATTTTGGGATTGGTTGTTGAAGAAAGATTATAATTTTGGTTGGACCTAAAGTCGCACGATTTCATTTTGTTCACAGTGCGAGTCGCGGCCTTGTGTGCTTGCGAACTTGCTCGACTGTGTAGTCTACTGACTCGCGCAACAAAGGGTTGTTATGCGATTCCGCTTGACTATAACGTAGCTGCGCTTGTTGTTTGATATAGTCCCTTAGGTAAGGATATCAAGGTCTCTGTGAAGGGTCTCGTTGGAAACATACCATGGGGCGTTAGTGATTGTACGCAAGGTTCTGTTCTGCAAAACCTGCAGGCTACGCAAATGCGTTTTGGCGAGAAAACACCAAGCTGCACTTGCGTAAGTGATCGCTGGTCTAATAACCATCTTGTATAGCCGAACTTTGTTGATCAAACTTAATTTTGATTTTCTACATAGCATAGGGTAGAGCTGCCGAAACGAGATATGGAATTTAGTTTTTAACGCTTCAGTGTGCTTCTGCCAGGTCATTCCCTTGTCAAGAGTGGCACCGAGATACTTAGCAGAGCTTTCCCGTGGTACTCGAGCTCCATTCACTGAATCCTCCGATGGGGCGCCGCTACGTTTTTTAGTACAATAGATTGCCTGCGTTTTCGAATGATTAATTTTGATCAGCCACCGATTCGCCCATTCCAATACGTCGTCCACTGCACGCTGCAGCCTGTCGTGAACTAGATCCCCAGAGCACGACTGGGCCACCAGGGCAGTGTCATCAGCATAGAGATAGATTTCACAGTTGCTGGGGCAAGCGACGTCATAAATAAAAAGTGGATAAAGGACTGGTCCAAGAACCGAACCCTGAGGGACACCGGATTTGATGGGCCGTGTTGTCGGCAAAACGTTATTAATTTTGATCCGAAATTCCTCGAGGATTTCAAAAGTTTTAGGAGCCAGACGGGGAAGCCCTTTTGGATCAATTTGTAGAGACGGCCCTTGTGCCACACCTTGTCAAATGCCTTTGAGACATCCAGAAGCAAGATGCCAGTACTTTCGTTACGGGCGAACCCCTTGGATCGTCAGGAATCACATTGTGGTCTGTCGAGACATTTTCAAGGTGACGTAGAATCACCTTTTCAGCGAGCTTAGAAGGAGCTGACAGTAGACTAATGGGGCGGTAATCCTGGGGGAATATCGAACCCACCTTCTTTGGAATCATTATGACATCGGCGGTCTTCCACGCCGTTGGGAAGTGCTGGGTCCTTAGCATGGCATTGATTATTGCCACGAGATAAGTTAAGGACTTCCGCGAAAGTAGCTTCAGCGCCTTATTAGTGATTCGATCCTCTCCAGGTGCTTTACGCACCTTGAGGTCTTCAGTTGAGGAATCTTCTGAAGATTCCTCTAAGGAAAAATCACTAAGGGAGGCACTACTGCCACTGACCGAGGTCATTATCAAGGTCATAGTTGGGAGAGAACTGACTTTCCATTACATCAGCGAAAACCTCGACCTTTTCCTCTGTCCTACAGACTATGCCCCTAGGACAGTGGATGTGCGGGAGTTGTTCTCGCTTTCCGTTTCTGAGTGACTTTGCAACTTTCCAGACAGGAATACTTGAGTCAAGCATCCTCGACAGAAAATCGTTCCATTGCTCATGTGGCGCAAACAGCTGGCAAATAATCTTCAAATATAAACTCCGACACGTTATAATAGCATAATAAATTCCAAAACAAAATATGTCGGACTTTTTGTTTTTGTTGAAGTTTTTTTGAAAAAAAATGTTTTTCATAAAAATCTATCTATTTTACAGCTCGGAGTAGTCATACGGTTCTCTGTTGGTGCTTGTTTTGTAAAGACGGTGCTTTAGTTTGTTAGGTATGCGTTATTCCAAATTATTTTGTTTGTTTTATACTCTGCTTGCTTATGTTTATTCCGATACTATTGCTGGCACGACCCATATAAGTAAAAATCACGAAAGATGACCATTACGTCATACCATAAATTGTACTGAAGTAATCAATCAATGGACGTAGGTCGATGGTAAAATCACGATGTCAGGAACATAATGACAACACACACACCCACTGATTATTTTTATTTTCATTATATTTCATGGTTTTGAGTGATACCTTAGGCCCGTATCGTCAGTCGTCTCTACAATTGTAGGGCGCCTTTATGGCCTCCTTGATTGTCATAGTTTTCTACTTTTCCGTGTCAGCGCTCTATTTTGAGGTTATGTCACAAACATCTATTTGCATCAAATTGTGCTTGCTTTTGAGTTATATCATGTTTTATCAGCCTGAAATTTCCTACAATTTAAAAAGAAAACATATCTTCACAATAGGAGAGCGCTGACGCTGAACGGGACAAGTGTAATCTAGAAATTTTTGAAGGAGAGAAAGCAGTATGACAACCAAGGAGGCCATAAACGCGCCCTACAATTGTAGGGACGACGGACGATACGGGCCTTAGTACTAATTTTAGTGGGGAGTTTTGTTTTGCAAAATACAGTTATGAGACAGGATCAGCAAAGACCAAAATATTATTCGAAAACAACCTAACCTGCTTTAACATAACCCAACTATTGCATCTTTCAAATATGATCGATCATGCAACATGGAAACATCGTCTATCTTTGTCGGATACTTGCAAGTTAGCAATACAGTGTATTTAAACAGTAAAATTCAGTTTGTCTCTGTCTAACATATCTGAAACTTCATTAAAAATATTCACAAATCGCTGTCTTTATTCTTTACTACAGACTAAAGTGACCTCTTTCGTGATTTCGACTATATACTCGTGGAGTACCTCTTCACACGGTGTTTCTGAATGATTTGTCCATTTATAATTTCCTCCAACGATTTTGGTATATATAAAGGGTACTATAAAGGTTTTGCAATATGGCTTAACAATCGGACTCAGGAGGCTGCATGTTGAGACATGTCTATGAGTGCATAGCAGTCGCCAGCAGCACGTCTGTTGATTTAGTTGTTAATTCGTATTGCCAGTGTAAAGTGTCATGTAGTGAGATAAGGGCAGTTTTACGGTATAACTTTACGCATAAACGAGTGCTTATACTCTAGGCGCTGAAGAAAGAAACTAAACCCAAACAAATACACGCATATTGCTCGTGAGTGAGTGTTTAGGCGCAGGAGACATTACAGGACCGCATCAAGATATTATGGGTAGTCATCAAAAATTTCATACAAGATAATTATTATCTTTTACAGTAAATTTCAGTTAGAGATTCACAAATGAGTTAACTACACTTTTTAGTTATTAGTAAGTAAGCTGCGCGCACTCATTCAGAAGAGGAACTTGAATCTTCTGAATCGTTTAAATGAATTATTAGAGGTTCAATTTGGGTATCGATGACATTGTCCCACATTTTGACCTCAACCTTCTCCCGAACGTGGCGGATACAGTTTTTCCATTCCTCTGCCGTAACTCTATTGACTGCGATGTGAAAGAGATTTTTAACATCAGAAAATTTATAAGTATTATTATTCGACGCCACGTATTGCTTTATGTTGGCCCAAATCAGCTCAATAGGGTTCAGCTCACAATGGTAGGGTGGCAGTCTCAAGACAGCTTTATTTTGTTTTTTGGCCATTTCGTCGATCATTTTAAAATCGTATTTGTATTTATGTCTATTGACTATACTTATCAATTCACCCTTGACCATTGTTTCATCAAAATCGATCTGTTTTGAGGCCAGCCATTGTTGTATGTTTGCTTTTTTAGTTGCCATTGTGGGAATTTTTTCTATTTTTCTAGAATGGTACGGGGCATTATCCAGTACAATAACAGCGTTATTCTCCAGCTTTAGTAACATTTTGGAGAACCAATTTTCAAAGGAATTGCCGTCCATCTCCTCATGATAGTCCCCTGTCTTTTTTGATTCAAAGGCCCACAGTGCTTCGGGAACAAAGCCGTCTTCACTACCTACGTGACAAATGATCAGCCGTTTGCCTTTTCCTGGAAATAAATTATTCCTTACACTATGGATTGATTAAATTTGAAAGAATGAGGCAATTGAGTTCATTTAGCTGAATTTAAGAGTCACGGAATGCTGATCAAAAACTGAAAAACGTAGAAAATTGAAGTTTGCAACTTCTCAAAACCCATTCAAAGCAAATTGACTGCACCCAAAAATGATAATAAATTTCAAAATAACGCTTAAAAGAGGGTCGAAGTTTTTTTCCTAATGACTACACTGCGAATGCACCATTTTTGGAGAATATCACACATTATCTGCTATCACAGCATATTATTTGCCCGAATTGATCAAAATTAAATTGCCGGATAGATGAAGGAGCTTACCTGCAGGATTTTTCAATCCAGCCGAAAGACCGTCTAGAAAAGCCTGCCTTGATGATGTTACTGATTTGTCGACCCAAACTTTCGCTTGAGTATGTCCAGCATTCACCCACGTTTCGTCCAAATAGTAAATTTTTCTTTTTTCATCGCGAAACTTCCGAATCTTCCTAAGGTATTCCCTTCTCCACACAACAATTTCTTCTTTCTCTATTAACATACTGTTTCTTCCCCGTTTCAAGAATCGAAAATTAAGTTCCTTCAAAAGTTTTCGGAATGTGGTTCTTTTAAATGATGGAAGATCCTCATCAGCATTAACTAATCTTAATATCTTATCTACTGTAGGTATCTCATTTCGGAAGAAAAAATTATGCACTTTCCTCCTGATGGCAGTTCTGTCAAAGTCATCTACTCCGTCCGTTATCCTTTTTCTTGCAGGATACGGTTTTGGCTCAGAAAGTGAGTGAGTGCTCCTATATTCCTTAATGATCCTATAAACACTGGACCGACATACTCCAGAAATATGTGCTACCTTACATATAACTTCGTCCACGACCAAATCGGGTTTTTCTTGAATTTGGTTTTTGTATATATTTAATATTATTTGTTTTTCACTTGTTGCACTTAAATGTAGGTTCTTAGCCCTTTTTTGGGTGGGGTTGCGCTGATGTCAACCACTTCGTCGGCTGTATCTGTGTCAGACATCGTATCTTAGGCAATATATAAACAAAACGTTCCACTCGCGAAAAACGAGTATACGCTACTGAATGCGTAATGCGTATGCAATGCAATCCTGTGCGTGAATTAACTGTTAGATGCCTGTCGTGTCATCTACAATCACGTTTACAAGTCCAAACCTGTGCAGATTCGTAGAGCGCCGACGACTGCTAGTGACCTTGAATTTGTCTGTAGATCGATGTTACTCCAGTCAATTTAGGTTCAAAGTGGATGTTTTCTAAACCAATTTGTTGTTCCTACATCAAAAATATATCGATGATGTTTTGTACTGGGAGCTCATGAAAGATCAAGGTAACTTATTTTAACAGTCATCCTTTTTCTAGTCTCAAGATGACACGAAAAAGGGTCTGTGGATTCACTAGAAATACACTGCCGAGGATGTTTAGACCTAAAGTGACTGGAGTATATCCGTGGATGCTTTCGAGGGATCTGTTCACGTGCTGATCACTGTTTACGTTTAATGTCTTTCTTCAGCGCCCAGAGTTTAGAAGAAATGACGCTTGCATTAAAGAATGATTGTCCTCATCGTACGACTATATGCAGGTGGTACAGAGAATTACAAAGATGCAATTCCACTCTGGAGGATGCTGAGAAGGAAGGAAGACCGCGAACGTTACTGCTGTGAGGAAAATGCTTGACGAAGACCGCAGAGTGAGATACCAACAGATAGAGGAGACATTACACCTTCATGCACCAGCAATTCATTCAATTCTGCATGATCATTTACACATAAGGAAACTTTTTTATCTCTGGGTACCGCATAGCCTGACGGAAGAGCAGACTGGTTTTGGCGGATGGAGAAATGTATTGAATGTGGTGGAAATTACTTTTAACGAAGCTGTATTGCAAAACTTGTATAGTAGTACCCTTTGTATTTCTTAGACTATTTCAGGAAATCACTTTCATTTTATAAGAAAACTGTTTCATCCATAAGGCTTATTCTAGGCTATATCCACTACCTTTTTCTATTATTGCATCATATAACATATTTGAGCTTGCTGACCACAACAATATATTGTTTATTATGGAAATTGCGATACATTAAGTTGTTGTTGAAGATTTATTTAGCATTAATGCTACAATGTCAATTTTGTATAATGATTCGGTTACATATTTTTCTTCAATTCATTTTCTGTAATTTTAAATTCTTGTCTTTTAAAATTAAAATTACGTCAGTATGAATTTTGATTATTCATAAAGTTATTTTTAGTTTCACCTTAAACATTTTTAAATTCGAACTCTGTTTAATATCATTATTCAATTTATTAAATTCAAATACCCCCTTTTGAAATAGTTATGCTACTATTACAATTTTGCAGATGAAAATCTATACTGCCCCTAGTTTCGTAGTTATGATAATGACTATTTAATTTTGTGAAGTTCTTTAAATGTGGTGGTAATAAATGATTTTTTAATTTGAATATAAAAATGAGAACTAAATAATATATGAAATTTTTCACATCCAACCATTGCAGTTCTTCTAACATAATCTTAATCCTATCGTATTTGCTTTTATTTAAAATGATTCTTTGTAGAATTTGTAATTTTGAAAATATGTTTACATTTGCTGTAAACAAGATGGTTGAACAATATAAAAAATGGGGAAGAATTATAATGTTATACACATTTTTTTTGGAATTTATACTAAGATTATGGTAAACTCTATAGAAGTATTTTATCTTTTTCGATATTTTTGAAATAATGTATTCATAATGTTCGTGAAACAGTAGCTTACTATCCACATATATACGAAGATATTTAAATGACTGGATTACTTCAATTTTTTCATCATTAATCATTAGCCTAATTGTATTTTCACCTAAATGTTTCCATATTGACATACATTTTGTTTTACTAGTGTTTAATTTAAGTTTATTGACATTCAACCAATTCATAATTTTTTCAATATCACTATTTAACAGTTCTAAAGCAGTGTCCAAATGCTTATGTGCCATATATATATAAGTGTATCGTCCGCAAATATTTGAATTTTGCAGTGTTCTAAAATGTCAGAGATATCATTTATATAAATAATAAATAGCAACGGCCCTAATTTACTACTGATATATTTTGAACACTTGACCCAATATTTCCAACTTTAGTTTTTTGACTTCTATTTACTAAATAATTTTGTAAACTGTGTAATACTGATCCTTTAAAGCCATAGTGATGCAATTTCATTAACAATTTTTCCCTATCTATAGTCTCAAATGCCCTTTTGAAGTCTAAAAATATTGTTACAATATATTCTTTCTCATCTATACTTCTTCTCCAGTCTTCCACCATCATTTGGATTGCCGTTTCTATGGAACATTTTTTTATAAATCCAGCTTGATTTTTTATCAAAATTTTGGTTTCTTCAATGAATTTTATGATTTGTTCGTATATTATCCCTTCGAACAGCTTCTCGACATCGGGCAAGACATTAATCGGCCGCATATATGTATACAGTTGAAAATTTTGAACATTTGGCACAGGAGTAATGGTGGAACACTTTAATTTATGGGAAGTCACCATGTACTAAACAATGATTCACCAATGATAATAATTTCTCTCCAATTATATTGAAACAATCATTTAGAATATTTTTTGAGAGATTCTCACTTGGATTTTTATTAGATTTCAATTTTGAGATAGCTTTTCTTAGATTGTTGATGTAATGACTGTAATTTCTTTCATTTTATTTTCATTGAACATATTTTCCACTTCGAAATATATCCATGAGTGATCACTTATCTTTGGGGTATGCTTAACTTCAGCAATTAGATTTTGTTCATTAGTTATGAGCAAATCTATTTTTGTTTTCGAAAAGTCCGTAATCCTTGTATAGTCATTTATTTTCTGCCATAATTCATGGATGTTTAGTACTTGTTTAAATTTTGTAACAGAAATCTTTACTGTCAAAATTTATATTAAAGTCTCCTAAATTTATATTTGTACATTTCCTTTTATAATGTTTTTCACATATACTTTCAAAAAATGCAATAAATCGATTGACGCTTCCACTTGGAGATCGATAATAAATATACAGATCCGCTCAATATTATTTCAGACTCAGATCATGAAGACAACCAGCTAAAAAATGGAGGCTGTAAACATATTCACAGAAAAATTCCACAACATTATTAACGAACGTTTAGGGCTCGTCCTCTTGGAATCTACAAAAAAGGAAGGTAAGAGTGAAGTCTGATTATGTAGATTTTGTGTCAGAGCACTGTAACTGTTTGAAAACATACTTTGAATTATTTCAATATCGCTGGTACGAATCACCTGTATGAATATGTGGACTCAACAAAGCTGGCTTTTAACTAAAATTCAATTTTCATAGGAAAATGCGAATCAAAATCCGCACAGGAACCCTCCGATACTGATGGAAACTCTTGCTCGTACTGTCAGGTCCAGTTTGCAGATCTACAAAGTCAGAGAGAACATTACAAGTTAGACTGGCATAGGTACAATTTGAAACAATCGTTACTCTCAAAACCACCTCTTGCAGAAGATGAATTCAACGAAAAAACTACTAATGGTTTGTATTGCATTTCGCTGTAAAAATAATGTGATCAGCTGTACCTGAAAAGTTTTGTGCTAGTTATCAAAAGTTGATACCCATATAGATGTCGACATGCTATTTCCGAACGTTTCGTTTGCTATCTTCTGGCCGTTATACTGAGAACATAGTGCCAAAGATAGTTTTTTACAATAATCGGCTAGTTTACTTTTTAAAGCAGATTTCAAATAGTCAATATTTGTTACTCAATATGAATTTTCAGGCCTAAAAGACAGCAAAACTTTAATTTAAAAATATACAGGGTGTCCGCAAAGTTGGGGTTTTCCTTTACACGACGTGTAGATCTTGAAAACATAAGCAATTTTTCTTAGTACCATATACACCAATGTCTTAAGGGAACCGAGATAAAGGGCTCTGCAACATCAAAAATATCTGAATACCGTCCTGTAGCCGCGACATCCCCGAGTGGTACTAGGACACTAGCTCAACCCGACGACAGAACTGGGTCGGGGTCAGTGTGTCAGGTCAGTATGCAACCTTCAACCGACGGTGACGGTCACGCGTGTAGAAGTAATCGCGTAGACGAGACTCCTCAACAAGCACTAGAGACGTGGCTAGAGAAGTGCAAGTATCAAAAACTAAAGTGTGGCAAACGCTGCGTGAAGAGGGGCTGTATCCGATTCACGTCCAACGTGTACAAGTCCTTCAACCTGATTATTTTCCAGCAAGAGTTTTTGTGAGTGGTTGTTGCATCAACATGACAATAATCGGGACTTTTTGAAGTGCATATTGGTGACAGACGAATCTACGTTCACGCGTAATGGGGTGAATCACTTTCGCAACACTCATGTTTGGTCAGTAGAAAATCCGCACGCTGTACGTCGGGCACATTTTCAACAAACATTTTCGGTGAATGTTTGGGCTGGCATGGTGAACGGTATGCTCATTGGACCATTTATTCTCCCAAATCGATTGGACGGGATGCAATACCTAGACTTTTTACGCAACATTTTGCCTTCCTTGTTTGCCTGCGTCTGCTCGGTAGCGCATCAGCTGATTTCATTTTCCGTTGGAGCGGTATGATTTCGGGCAGAGACGTATTTAGCCCTTCTCGTCAACTGGAGAGTGAGTACTTTTTCCTTTATTTTTTTTTACTTGGTCGCCCTCGTTTCACTACACATTACCTTTGTTATTTCAAGGGTAGTTGTTTCTGAAAAGGAAGACCCCAAGTTTGCGGACACCCTGTATTTTTCTTAGGCAAGCGAAAACGATGTCCGCCATGTTTGGCCCATATTTATATGCTCTGATGTCATACCATATGTAAACAGCTGGTGACAGCAACATAACCGCTTAAACTTTTAAAAACAAATTGAAAAATATACCACCTGTGGATTAGGGTGTCCAGGGAAATAAATATACGTAACACAGTATAAACCTTATTTCACGAGTAACCACCACGTTTTAACGTCTATTGAGGTGAACACCTGATCAGTGAGTGACATATTTGTATAAGGCTGTAACGTTGGCAATAATGAATATGGTGTAAAACCTGTAGCGTTTTTATTTTAGTATGCAAAAGAAATTTTCTGAATTAAAGCCTTGCTAGCAAGTATAAAATGAATGTGTAGCGTACAAAAATCAAAACAAAATACGACTATGTCTACCTGGCGTTGACGGATCCGTCACAATTATGTGTCATTCGTCATTACGGGAAGTTTTGAAATACTACTAGATCATCGGCTGCTATCCTACCGTAATGGATACTCGTGAAAAAGACAATATTGCTTGAAGCATACTTTATGTTCGGGACATATCTGTAAGAAGAAATACAATATTAGATAAAATTATTCAGGCATTATGACGGATTAGTTTTGAATTCACTTCTGAAAGGGGAGATTGTGTAAGTGTATTACTTATTCTTTCTTTTTATGTCTATCGTTATATCAGACGCACTATACTTAAATAGAAGTATTCTTATGTTAATTGGGAGTTTTTTAGAAATATCTAAAGAAGGCAACGGTCCACGAATGACATGCGGATGACGTTTCTTTGTTTACGATTTGTATGACGTCACATCGTGGCCGATAGTGTTTTTACCGTTTTGTATTGAAAATAAAAAATATATTTTCTTAAATTTGACTTATATATCCATCTTGCTCATCTAAAAATTGAAATCGATATATTTCTTTTTTGGTAAGGAATATTCATTTATTCTATGAAATTTGATATACAGTAATGGACAAAAGTATATAGACAAATATGAATATTTACCTAAATACCTTTAGAAAGCGAATTCATACTTCATTGCTCCATAAACAAGTGCGTTATTAGTAGAAAAACTAAATTCCTTGTTTTTACATTATTTGCAATGAACACAATACAAGTTTTAATATACATGAGCACTTTTTATGAGGGACGAAAATATGTAGACAAATTCTTTTCAACGTTAGTTTAGTACAGTTTCGTGTCAGAAGAGGATTAGTTTGTGTTCATCAAGTATTGTGGAATAAGTTGAGTGATTTTAAGACCATGCCGCGTGGTCCAGAAATTTCTTTCGATGTGAAAACTAAGATCATTGAGTTATACAAAGATGGTCAACGTCAAGTCGACATTGCCAAAAATTTGAAGCTGAAGCGTAAAGCAGTTTGGGCAATATTGAACAAATATAAACAAAAAGGTATCTTGGAAGCCTCTAAGAGAAGTGGTCGGCCTAGAAAACTAAATGCTAGATCAGTTAGATTAATAAAAGTACATAATTTCGTCCAAAGATCCGTTTAAAACCCCAAGACAAATAAAAGCCGAAATCGAGACAAAAGGAATTGTCAGTGTTTCTACGAAAACCATAAGTAGAAGATTAAATAATTTGAAGTTATTTGCACGTCCCCCAAGTAAGAAGCCGCTAATCTCGAGGAAAAACCGTAAGAACCGATTACAATTTGCACGGTTGCATCTTGATTGGGGCATCTGTGACTGGAAGAGGGTATGTTTCAGTGACGAATCCAGGTTCAGTATATTTGGATCAGATGGCGTTCATTAACGTTAGACGTCCTAGTGAACAAAGATTGAATCCCAAGTACACTTTGCCCACTGTCAAACATGGAGGCGGGTCTGTTATGGTTTGGGGATGCTTTTCGGGGTTTGGGATGGGACCTTTACGTAGAATAGATAAGGATAAGGATAAGTTTGTATACGCAGATATACTAAAGCATGTCATGTTACCCTATATGGAAGACAATATGCCCTTAAGATCAATCTTCCATCAAGATAGTGACCCGAAGCACAAAATCTCGCAAAGAAATTCTTTCAGGATGAAAAGATACCAGCTCTCAAATGGCCTTCACAGTCTACCGATATAAACCCCATTGAAAATCTATCTAGTTAGATAACCAAATACGAGATAAAAATTATTTAGACAACGATGAACTTTTTGCCGCTTTAGAGCAAAAGTTGATACAGATTGATGAATCTTATATTAAGAAACTTCTACAATCTTTGCCGAGACGATGCCAGGCTGTGATTGATAATAATGGTTATGCTACAAAATATTAACACAAACATGGTTGGTTTTCTATAATTTAATGAAGTTTGCTTCTTTTTTCTATAATTGTTTTGCTTTGTCTGTATATTTTTGTCGTTCATAGTTCCAGTTTGTTTCAATCAATTTTTTATTGAAGGGAGTCTAAGAATTTATTTATGTATAAGTGAGTATTAAGCTATAATGAATTATGTATACAGGTTGGTGTATTAATAAAACAAGTTAAAAAAGAAATACAGCACAATAATAATTTGTATATATACTTTTGTCCATTACTGTAAGTCAAGGGTGGCTATAACAACTAGCCTGTTCATACTACCTTATCACCTCTATATCTCTTTCTAGATGATTTGTCGAGTATATCCGGTTCCGAATCAGAGAAGGAAGACTCATTAGATACTTTGGCTGTCGCACAAGGAAAACTCTTTTTACAAAACGCCAGCACGACGGTTTTCTCTATATACAAATGTCTCATATTTGATAGAAAGGTACGCTATTTTTTTAATAATTCCCAATTATAAACTATATTTTAGGCAGTATAGATCAGTCGAGCAAACCTAAAGTCAAGATTAAATCCTAATTCTATATTTAGAGATACATATCAATCAATTCATATTCGAACCATTTGTGTGCTTCATGATTGACGAAGTTAGTCAACAATGATGCAAACCAACTTCTGCAGGGGTATTACGTATGTTGAAAAGTGACATTACATCGTTTTTTTGACATATAGGTTTTTCTAGAAGATGCACTAGCTGTTGTACACTTGTTGAGTACTCGTTCTGTAGTTGTACGTGTTGCCTAAAGGTCATGATGCTTCAGCTATCAATGCTTGTCTCTGATGTGATGTAACATCTGATTCAGAGATGGAATTACTGCAGATCTATGCTGTAAGTTGTATACTAAAGCTGGAAGGGAACGGCAATGCATAGTTGCTTTCTTGCGATGTATGCAAAGCTAAAAATTAGTCGTCTATCCGCTTTTTCTTATTCAACCTGGAAATTATATGCAGGGTTGTAATGTCACGTATTCCTGTTAAGGGGTGATAGATTAGGTCAAAAGCAACCGATTTTGTCCTATAATGTCCTATCCAGAAGTTCACCGTTTTTGAGTTATTTGAATTTTTTTTTTATTCCGATTTCCGACGGTTAAATTTGAAATACAAAAAAACTACATGTTTGATTTTGAGTTTTTTGTTATCGTCGCATAGCGGACATTCCAATAGTTCATAATAAGTAAAATGTTGAAAACTTACAAAAGTTTTAAAATTACGCTTTGGTAATGTATGATTTTCTTATTTTTTTACTAACTTATTCGATAAAAAATGCAATTTTTTTCCTAGTAATGAAATGTACAAATTATGTAAATAATATCTCCATCTAATAAGCTTTCATTTGAGGTATAAAAGTTACAACTAACTCAAGTACAAAGACATAAAATTAAAAAAAGATGAGAAAAGTTGTACGAACAATAATTACGTAGGATAACTAAAAGGCTTTTATTTTAATTACAGTTCTATTTAATTACATTTCCTTCAGTATTTTACAGATTCTGCTCAAATTGTAATCCCCTGTTACGAATACACGCCCGCATTCTCTTACGTAATTCACTTTTGGTAACTCTAGTTGTTAAGCGGCTTTTTATTTGGTCAGGTGCACTGATTATCCTTGTAATTAATTCATCGCGCGTTGGTATGGGCGAAACATCGTACACCAGACTTTTCATATGTCCCCACACATAGTAATCCATCGGTGTGAGATCTGGGCTTCTTGCTGGCCAGGCAATTGGCCCGCCTCTGCCAATCCATTGATTTGGAAATTTAGAGTCTAAATACGCCCGTACTAATCTACTGTAGTGTGCGGGACAGTCGTCGTGCTGGAACCGCATATTTTGTCTCGTCGCCAAAGGGTCGTCTTCCATTAATGGAAACAAGTGATTTTTCAAGAACTCTTCATACACTTCTCCATTTAAATTGGCGAGTAGAAAATGAGGTCCGATTAAATATCCATCAATGATGCCCATCTACACATTGACTGAAAACCGGCTCTGAGACCCCGTCGGTGTTATTTTTCGGGGGTTTAAAGCTTCATTATCAGTCCAGTAATGAGCATTATGGTAGTTAGTGATCCCGTCCTTATCAAACTTCGATTCATCGGTCCACAGAATTTTCTTAAAATAGTCTGGATCTTCTGTATCTGCATGTAACATGTACCTACAGAAATCTAATCGTCTTGCAGGATCGTCCTCTTCAATCACATGCACAGGCGTGTAGTGATAATTGTATAATCTTGCAGTATGCACAGTAAACCATACTTTGTATTGTGATATACCCAACTGAGCAGCCACAATGCGCGTAGACGTAGTAGGGTCTTCCTGAAACAAACGAAGGATTTCCTTTTCATCTTCAGGAGGATAGACTCGGGGTCGACCAGCATCACTATGTTGCCTTTGAACACGTCCGGTTTGGCGGATGCGCCGATACACAGAGTCAAACACAACATGAGGTGTTCGGCGATTCGGGAAACGTTGCCGATATTCACGGCGGGCAGCTGCAAAATCGCCGTTACAAAGTCCATAACAGAACACTATGTCTGCGTATTCTTCATTTATAAAAGTTTGCCCGTGCTCGCTATGGCGAGGTCCTGGCGGATCTTCTGCGTCTGCCATGATGATAAAGAAACCACTCGAAATGAACTGGGAAAGTCGAAAATAACAATCGTGCTTAAAACGGGTGCGCGTACGCAGTAGTTGATACCAACTAAACCTAATTCTCACTCGGCGTGCGGCGATGGCGTAACTACAATGATGAATAATAACAGCTCTCTTTCTCTCACTCCTCCATTAAGTCAGCTCTTCTCGCTCGCTTCCTCGTCGAGCCGATGCCATAAAACAATCATGGCATGCGAGTCCTTTGAGGACAGTAACGACTTGTTCAAACAGGTAATACAAATTCCTTAAAAATCCAGCCTCTGTGTATGTCATTGTTGTTTCTCTGCATGTACTTCAGATAATTGAACGCTTAATACCTCAAATGAAAGCTTGTTAGATAGAGATATTATTTATATAATTTGCACATTTCATTACTAGGAGATTTTTTACAGAAAATTGCACTTTTTATCGAATAAGTAAAAAGCGTAATTTTAAAACGTTTGTAGCTTTTCAACATTTTATTACTTATTATGAACTATTGGAATGTTTGCTATGCGACGATAACAAAAAACTCAAAATCAAGCATGCAGTTTTTTTTTGTATTTCAATTTTAACCGTCTGAAATCGGAATAAAAAATAAAAAACTTAAAACTCAAATAACTCAAAAATGGTTAACTTTTGGATAAGACATGATAGGACAAAATCGGTTGCTTTTGACCTAATCTATCACCCCTTTACAGGAATACGTGACATTACAGTCATATATATATATATATATATATATATATATATATATATATATATATATATCCGCAAAAAGAAGGAAAGTCGATTCGAGCAGAAAATAGGATACGTAACCCGAGAGATATGTATTTCTGCTGGTTGGCTTCATCAGGGAAATGAATGTACATATGCAACTACAAAAGTAAACACACATGCCCATACATCCGGATACGGGTGTAACCTGAGGAAACAAAGATGGAGAGGGAAAAAAATTACTCACGAAGTCAACAACAGAGCCAACCTACACATGGTAGTATAAAATGGCTAGAAGACCTCGAATTTTCAAGGCGACATCTAACCACAACCACGCGGCCGGTTATAGCCACTTGCTGTGGTACTTCAAGCTCAAAGGATCTACAAAGAGAAAATAATCATGCGGAAAAATGTATATAACAAAAAATAGGAAAATAATGGGCAAAATCCGCAAAAAGAAGGAAAGTGGATTCCCTCTCCATCTTTGTTTCCTCAGGTTACACCCGTATCCGGATGTATGGGCATGTGTATCTACTTTTATAGTTGCATATGTGCATTTATTTCGGGCCTGATGAAGCCAACCAGCAGACATACGTATCGCTCGGGTTACCTATCCTATTCTCTGCTCGAATCCACTTTCCTTCTTTTTGCGAATATATATATATAATCTGTAACCTTATATGCCCATAAGTATAAGGTAAAATCTGGAACTTACTTATGCAAATTTGCTGAATTTCAAAAATGAGAGAAGTAAAAAACAAACATGTGGATCAAGTATATTACAACCAACAGTTGAGAAAAATAGGCTACAGACAGGAATATTTATGAAACGTAAACTTCTGTATTATGATGCTAGCCTTACTTTCTAGATCCTCTAGCGACTTTGCTGATACTGTTATAGTTGTGTCAGTAGCAAAGGTAACCAGGAGACAATTATTATCAATTATTCAAAATACGTAATACCCTTGCGGAAATAAAAAACGAATGGGGTGGGGAGGTTATTGAAGAAAAGCACTGCGTGCGTACAAACATACAAAATCTTGGCTAGTTTCGATCCTAACTACAGAAATGTTACACAGGAAGACATCTCGGACGACCTGCTGAATCCACGATTGACTAAATGTACCCTACAAAACCCGCAATGGACCTTGTTGATGCTTGGTGGTGGTCATTTTGCCGGTGCGATTTTCAAAGGCAACGAGCCTTTCCTGCACAAAACATTCCACTGTTACACTGTACGGGCAGGTCAAGGCACTGGACAAACTACGAGAGACAATAGAGGTCAAGGGGGTAAAGGAGGGCCCAAAAGTGCCGGAGCTTCGTTGAGGAGGTACAATGAACAAGGGATGGTGCAGGTAAAAAATATTCCTACAGCAACCTTTATCAAAGAATAAAGAGTTACCATAAGAAGGGGCACTCGCGAAAAAACCTTTGATCTTCGTACTTAAAGATGCCGACATTGTTCCTAGATTAGTATCCTTTATTTAGGTGCTTTACTGGAAGAGGTTCTGCACTTTTTATTGCTTTCAAAGGGTACTATAAAAGTTTTGCAATACCTCTTTATTTATTGACTTTTTTCAAAGTAATTTCCACCACATGCATTACACTTCTCCATCCGCTAAAACCAGTCCTTAAACCAGTTTCACCTGGAAGTGCGGCACACTCATCGCTACAAAACCGTTTTCCTTTTAGTCGCAGGGAGCAAGATCTGGACTGTAAGGAGGGTGCTCAATAAGTTCCAGTCCAGTAGTGGTTAAATACTCGGTGCAGGCTTTGGCGCGATGAGCTGGAGCGTTGTCATGGTGGAGGTGCCAAGTGTCCGTTCTTGACTTTTGCCGCAGGTTTTTTATAGAGTCTATGTACCACTTAGCTGTGACTGTCTTCTGGTATCTCCAAAAGGACACACTCCACAATCCCGCTCGATTTGAAAAATACAGCTGTCTGTTCTTAACAGATCGGGATTTTGAGCCTTGGTCGGCACAACGTAATAATAGAGCGAAGTCTCATCACATGTCACGATGCTGTTCACATAACGAGATTGCCACTTATCAAACATTTACAGCATCTTTCGGCGCCAAGCCGTACGACGAGTCTTCTGCTGTTCCGACAGACTATGCGACTATGCGGTACCCACAGAGAACAAAGTTTCGTTACGTGTGGATGGTTATGCAGAATTGAATGAATTGCTGGCGCATCAAGGTGCAAGGTCTCCTCTATCTGCTGGTATGTCACACTCCGGTCTTCGTCAGTCATTTCCCTCACAGCAGTAATGTTTTCCTATGTTACTGACGTTCGCGGCCTCTCAGCGTCCTCCAGAGTGAAATTGCCCCTTTGGAATTCTCTGCACGAGGGATGCCTTTTAAATTTTGCATATAGAAACATAGTAGGCCGCGCGGATCGAACGTCAGTACTGAATCTTAACATCACCCTTTAGTAAACTTAAATTCAAAGTTTCACAACAATACGTGCAGTGTTCTCACTAGAGTGAATTTTTAAGTGTCACCAAGTCATTAGAAAAATGGAACTCAACCGAGTACATTTTCGCGCCATAATTTATTACAACTTTCACAGGCAATTATCGCAACAAGAATGCCTTGCTGAGTTACTGTCTGTTTTCGGCAACGAAGCGCCACATCAGTCGACAATTTCCCGTTGGTATGAAGAGCAGAAAGCAGCCAGGATTAATTGACTGAAGAGCAGAAAGCAGCCAGGGTTAAATGGGGTCAAAAAACGCTTGACCGAGGTGAAGAAAAGCCAACAAAAGTCATGATGATGAAGATGGTCGCGACATTTGTGTCAAAAGCGGGTCATATTGCAACAATTCCTCTTAATGAGCAAAGAACTGTTACTGCGGATTGGTATACCACCATATGTGTGCCAAAAGTCATCACCAAGCTTTGAAAAATCAACCCTGAAAGAAGAACCATCCTCCACCAAGACAATGCAATCTCGCACACAGCCTAAAAAACAACGTATTTAACGGAAGAAAACGTGGAATTATTGGACCATCTTCCATATAGTCCCGATCGAAGTCCTAACGATTTCTTTACTTTCCCGAAAATTAAAAACAGACTTCGTGGTCAAATGTTCCAGTAACCAGAAGAAGCAGTTGACGCATTCAAAAATGCTGTTTTGGATCTGCCATCAAACGAGTGGAATAAGTGCTTCGAAAATTGGTTCGAGCGCATGCAGATGTGTATTAATCTTCAAACAATAAAGTTATTTAAAACTACCTACCGTGTTGTTTTATTTCCATATGCAAAACTTAAAAGACATCCCTCGTACCACCTGAATATAGTCGTACGATGAGGACAATCATTCTTTAATGCAAGTATCAATTTTTCTAAGCACTGGTCAATGCTTAAACCGCGCATAAAGTTATACCGTAAAACTGCCCTTTTCTCACTAGGTGACCATGATGCCATAGTCCGCACTTTGTACTGTCAATACGAATGATCAACTAAATCAACAGACGTGCTACTGGCGGGTACTATGCACTCATGAACATGTCTCGACCTGCAGTAACATGCAGCCTCCTGCGTCCGTTTGTTAAGTCATATTGCAAAACTTTTATAGTACGCTTTGTACAGGGTAGTGTTGTTGTGCTTAGGCGCACGTGTTGTCAAAATTTGCTTTTAGTAGCATGGAGTTTGTGAGTTTATACAGGATGATTCATCTAGTTATCATTTTTATGGCGTAGGCAATAGATTATAAATATAAAGAAGAAGTCCCAAAATATTTGGGTCTTGAAATATAGTTTTTTGCCTACGTCACCGATTTTATCAAAACTTGGAATATGGTACGGTCAGAAATTATGAAACGCGTTTTTTAATGTTTTTATCTGCTGTTAGGTGAAAAGTGTAATCAATAATATCCATCCTCATTACATAATAATTGAAACCTTAGATAAGAACTAAAGAATTGAGCCGACGTTCAGGTTATGACTGCTACATTTTTTAGATAAACTACCGTAAAATGAAAATTTAAATCGCCCCTTGAACGTTCCTCAAGGAAGTGTCATTGTTTCATTGTTTCCGAGGAAGGTTTATAAATGAGAGTTCTATAAATGCCTCTTTTCAGCACGTAAAAGACATAGTGGAAAACTGGAAAGACGAAATAGAAAAAAGCTCATTGATAATATACAGGGCAGCAGGACCTTATAACAGATCTGTTCTGTTCGGAGGTTCAAATCCCTTGTTAGATCGCACTAGCAAAAAACTTAGAACGATACCATTTTCAACAAGAAGAGCTACTTTCACAGAATTGAAAAGGGTGCATGCCCTGTTAGCAACTGCAGAAGTTTATGGTGAGTTGATATCTCCCTCTAGAACCCCACGGACTTTTTTTTATACAGGATGTTAATTGAACAGAAGATTCTTTGGGTAATTTTAAGACTAAAAGTTCATATAAATATAGGTCCGCAAATTTTTCGTTCTCAGGATACAGGGTGTTATAATTTAAAAAAATATTTTTTCGTAAATTTATTAAATATCCTGTACCTAATTTTGTTGTAATTTGGCGGTGTTATTTACATAAGGAGCTAATTTAGCCCTAACTTGATTAAATTTTTTAAGTCCAGTGGCGTCTCGAGCCGGATCTGAACGAATATTTGCCACAAAAAATATACGCCACTAAGTTTTGTGCAATTTTTATTATGTTACTTGGCGGAAAAACCAACCAAATAACAAATATGGGGAAATTTTTCTTTTGGAAATTCTTATTTTTTTTATAAGTTGTTATTACTAATTATGTAATAACAACAAATAAACACTAAATTCTATTACATTATACAGGGTGTAAACGTTATGATAGTCATTATTTAAATGGGTGATAGAGGGCGTTAAAAGAAGCAAAAAGTTTCATATAACATGGGGGTCAAAACGGCATTTTTTTTAGAGAAAAGCGACTTTAAAGTAAAATAAAATTTGACAACGCCGCAATGCCAGACGGAAATTACGACGGAACGCAGTATAAATAAAGATGGAGTTTGTTATTTTTGGCTCTTAGGTATTATTTAATTATTTGATAATGTAATCGCAAAATGCAAACAATTAAAAAAAAAATACAGACTTACCACTGACTGTCTCAGCGCTTCACCTGGTGTATGAAAGTTTATTGAACGTATTAAAAAAATCCACTTATAAATAGGGAACACAATTTTGATACATATACTAAGTGACATATAAATCCGAACACCCAGTTTAAATGGTTTTATTTTAATAAAATTTTGTATAAGTATTTAATGAAGCATAATACGTAAATGATAAAAATTTCAAAATGATTGCACTGCTTTAAAGCCCTTTGACCTTTAATAATGTGTGGATGCACCCTGATGTGCTACGCATTCTCCAACGCGCCTAAGCATGCTTCTGATCAGGTGGTCAATGTCCTCCTGTGGTATCTCATTCCAGGCAACCACCAACTCCTCTCGAAGTGCTTCTAGAGTCTGAGGAGGACGTTGCAAATTGAGCAATCTCCTACCCATCATATCCCACACGTGCTCAATTGGGGATAAGTCGGGAGATCTTGGTGGCCATGGTAACAATGTGACATCATTATGTTGAAAGAAGTCTATTGTGACTCTTGCAACATGTTCTAGAACTTCGTGGATATAACGCTGCGCGTTCATGTTACCTCTGATGAAGATTAAAGGTGACCTGGAACCCTAAGCTATAGCACCCCAAACCATAACTCCAACAGTGTGATGAACATGTCTTTCAACAAAAAACTGTGGATTCCTCCTTTCACCACGTCGCCTTCTAACCCTGTCACGACCATCGTGCATGCCTAAACAAAATCGAGACTCGTCACTAAAGACAATACTGTTCCATTCCTGATCCCAGAGTGACCGTTGTCTGCACCACTCAAGGCGATTACGTCGGTGTTCTCGAGTTAAAAGGAGGACCCAGTGTGGCCGGTATGAAAACAAGCCAAAACTTCTCATTCGTCGGTAAACATTTCGCATGCCAATAGGTCTTCCGTGTTCTGCAAACCATTCATTTGCAATGGATCTGGTAGTGGAGAAACGGTCCCTTAAGGCCAATAATCTTAGGCGGCGATCGTCACGGTCTGTTGTTCTACGGCGGCGTCCAGTGCCCCTTGCTCTTTGCGTACGGCCTTCTCGAAGCCATGCCTGTCAACACCTAACCACAGTGTTTACACTTCTTTGCACTCTAACTGCAATTGCCCGAAAAGAAAGTTCAGCTTCCCGAAGTCCCACTATACGGCCCCTATCAAACTCACTAAGCTTACGAAATCGTACAGGTCTCCGTACTCTAGACATCGTAACCGATCGTAAAGGATGTCAAGAACCAAAATCCGCCAACGTTGATTCTTTACTGCGGCTGAAATATTCATTTTTAAAGCGTTAGTGAATTAAAAAAAGCAGTATAAAAACCGGAATGTCCAACTGATAAGGCTGAAAATTTTTTCACTTGTTATTTACAGTAAGATAAATACATTCACCAACTTTGATTAAAATAAAACCATTTAAACTGGCTGTTCGGATTTATATGTCACTTAGTATACATCGTTTTTCTTATTAAAACCCACACTGCACTTTTTTGTATTGAAAGAAGGTGTTCAAAATGTCGTCCTCCACTTTCCAGACAAGCTTCTTTACGATGAACCCAGTTTCTCTTACTCTAGGTCCTCGAAGTTGTCCATTTATTATTTCAGCCGCATTAAAAACTTTTTCGACGTACGCGAACGAAAACAAAACAACATACTAACCGTTTGCGATCGATTGCAGGTTCGATAAGAGTGATGATGACCGACGCGCTGTTGTCATGTGTGTTTTAAATATTCAATATAATGAAACTTCCTTACTGACTACAAATTTTGGCTTAACTTAGAAAAACGTAATGCCATTTATTTGTTTATTATCCAATTTAAAAAGGTTTCAGATTAGATTGTAAAAATTAGTAAGATTGTGATGATTGTGGTCGATATAAAGCACTTAAAGTTAAAGCCATTTAGACAAAAAATCTATTGACTTTTGGGCCATGGGTCATATGAACTTTTTGACTTGTTTTGACCCAGCCCTATTACCCATTTCAATAATTATTACCATAACGTTTACATCCGTATTAACATCTAAACTAATGAATTTTACTGAACTAAGGAATAGTAAATAATAATGAAGGGTTGCCTTGGAACACGATTGCAGCTTTTAGTAAACAACTTGACAGTCGACAACTAAGTATCTATAAACTGTTCATTTATAATTTTTATGGAAAGTGTCTTTTGTGATAATTTTTTGTGCAATATGGTTCAATTGACTAATAGTGAACTGACAGATACGCATTACTGTTACGGAATAATAATAGTAATAATTAATAATTAACGTCTTTTATTTGCAATATTCTTACAGGAAGCAAGATTTAGATTATATATATATATATATATATAACAATACGGGATGTAAAAAAAAGAATTTGTTGAAATTAATAGGTACCTGTATACAATAACGACAGAATAAAGTATAATCCAAGTAAAGACATAAGGAAAATATGAGGACACTTATGGGTTACAACAGATTTCGCTGCTGATCAAGTAGAACTTCTTTCACTTTTTTCTTGAATTTGGATAATGGATTGGTTTCTTTTAAACTGCGGTCTAAAGAATTATATGATTTGATCGCATTGTAAATGTATGTATGTATTCTGAAATAGAGATGTGCTGTGGCGTGGAATTGAAAAAGTCTCTCTATATCTAATATTAATACCATCCATATTCCCTCTACGTATGAATTTGTTTACTAAATATGACGGTGTTTTTGAATAAAGAACCTTGTGAGTCAGATTTAGGAGCTGGTACTTATACATTTTATCAGTTTTCATCCATTTGAGTTCATTAATGGCATTCGATATATGATCATATTTTCTGAGACCATTTACAAGTCTGCAACATGTATTCATAATACGTTGAATACGATTTCTTGTTATAATATCTATATAGGGATTGTAAACCACTAAGCAATACGATATCTTTGAAAACAAGAAAGATTAACACAATTAGATAGTTCACGTCTGCAACAAATTTTAAGTCATCATCCATTTTAATACCTAGGTTTTTCGAATGATCCACAGGAATTGATTTATTACCTTTTAAATGTATGTCTATGTCTTTTTTAAGGTATTCTTTTTTATTCTATTTGAGTACACCAACATATTTGTCTTCAAAGGGTCAAACGAAGATTATGACTATTACTGAACTTTTCAATTTGGGCAAGATCTTGATTAATTTTATTATTTACTGTTTCCAAGTCATTACTCCTAAATGAATAGAAAATTTGAGTACCATCTGCAACATATTGAATGCTGCATGATTTTACCTCTGTTTCTAAATCTGAGATATATAATGAAAATAATAGGGGTCCTAAGACTGATCCTTGTGGTACACCAGAACAAATTTTTTGTTCGGTAGAGTACTGTTGATTTAGACGAACTTTTTGATACCGATTTTCAAGGTAGGTTTGAATAAACGAAAGAGGTTTTTCAGAAAATCCATAATAACAGCATTTAGATACAACAATTGAGTGATTAATGGTGTCAAATGCTTTAGTAAAGTATGAGAGCTACTGCTTTTTGGTTATCAAGTGCCATTGTTATATGGAATGGAAATGGCAAATGGAAACTGTAATGCTGCAACAGGCAGCTTTAAAATATCGATGGTTGTCATAGGGAGTCCTGCAATGATACGAACAGTTCAAATTATGGAAGCTGTTTCAAATGAAATTGAAAATAGCTGAAGAACTGAATATTACCTATATCAGAGTGGAAGATTTTAGGAGACCAGCAGCTATATCCGTATCATATGCAAGCTCTATTGATCGGAGATTTGCCTTCAAAACTATATAGATTTTTCTAACTGGTTACGCAGTAAAATATTGTTTACACATTTTCTCGCAATCCAATTACCCGCCTTAATAGAATATCATTTTCAAGAACAGTTTTCTTGTTATATTTGGGTTGGAATTGTCGGAGACCATTTTATCAGAATTGCATAGTAATGAACTTATTTGACTACATTTTTTGTGTTTGATTTTAGATTCATTGGAGACAGCAACAAAGATATATGCATTACAAAAGTCACCAGATGCAGATTTGAAACGAAACAGAACTAGAACATCTTGTGTTAATAGAGCAAAATCTAGGGAACCCATAGAGAGACCACTACCATCAACTTTATCTAGCACAAGCAGTTCTGATGAAGATCTGGATGAAGAAATTACAGATCTGGACATAGCAACTATAGGTACGAGCATCTCTTGAATAAATCATCTTCGATCAGTGGATCTGCTTAATCAAACCCACTAGAAGTCAAATTTTACTAACATTTCGGCTACGTCAGTAGTCTCTTCCAAAGTACAGTTCAAAATGGAAATAGTTTAGTCATCTTTCATTTTCAACAACGAACAAAAAAAAATGATGCCCTGGTTCAGCTTAGAAGTATATATATACAGGGTGACTTCGAAGTTGAGTCACTTATTTTAACAGTGAGTAGATCTGATCAAAAGAAATGTTTTTTTCCTTTAACATTTTTGTGGTAAAATTAAAGTAACAAAGTTATAGCCCTTTAGAAGTTTGAGTACCGCCCTGTCTCAATAATAATATTATGTGCTCGTGTTTGGTAACAACGGATATAATCCGCCTTATCAGTTCATCGCATCGGAAACAAAAAAGCGAAAGAATTTGAAACGCTGATCACGACGTTTTTATTCAGTCTGTGTCAGTCGCTAACGCGTGAGTGAATAGTGGTGTCTGTTCCGTGGCTCAAACGAAATAAAAAATGGCACATGTTTATGCGGATCGGTTTCCCAATCGAGTGCAACCAACCCCTCGTTCCTTTGTTAATGTAGTTTGACAACGGGCTCGTGAATCAGGTGACTTAAGACCTCACAGGGGACGGCATGCCGGTGCTCCAAGACCTCACGATCAAATACAGGTCCGCACTGAAATACTTGTCGGGAGGATACTTTATAAAACAAAGTAACATTTTTTTTTATTTTTACACACATATTTTGGTTTATCTTCCTATATATATTGATCATTATTCCCTGAGCTGCTTAATCTACTTATTACATTTCGTAAAACGTTGATTGTTGATTTGACTTTCAGATGTAGAATTACAAAAAGAGCAACCTCAACAACTTGAGGATTCAATCCTAGAAGTTGTGTACGAAACGTCGCAACTTGAGGATTTACAAGAATTTGGCGATTCCTTAACGCCCGAGCAGAGGAAAAAGCCTGCAAAGAAGAAAAGTAAACCAAAGAAGAGCAAATCGAAGAAACTGAAGGAGCACGAAGAAGCGAAAAGGAAAGAATTGGTGGATTTTATATCGAAAGGAGACGTCAGTGGACTGGAAAAGCTCTTAGCAAATCATTTGAACTCTCTAGACGAAGGTGTAGATAAGGAAGAGGCTAAAAGGAGTTTCGTTAATCAGGTGTTGGATGAAAACTTGAATACTCTGCTTCACGAGGCTGCTTTGAATGAACAAAACGATATCTTAAGGTATGCACAACAAATGGTATCGATTATTTCGACCGTATTTCTCGCCCATTTTTAACAGATACTTATCACTCTGCTGAAGCAAAAATTAGGTTTTTCGCGTTTAGTAGGTTTTCTGTCACTATCACATTGCGATCCGATTGACAACTGGAAACAACATGGACAATTCAACCCAAATTCAAATCTCGGATTTTTTGAACGTATGAGACCAACTTTTTGAGAACACGTACAGGGTGCGACTGGTATATTTCTCTTATTTGTCCACTTATACAGGGTGAGCAAAGGAAGTCAGGTTTTTTTAGAAAAGTTTGGGGCTATGTGAGATTCTCAATTTGTGATCTTGGAAATTTTTCTATGCATCTTTTTGATCTTTGGACTAACCTAAAAAAGTGATTTCAAATTTTTTTCGAAACTTGGCTTTAACTCAAATTATCGAATTTTAAAAAAGTGTTACATTCATCCCTAAAAAGGGGGTTTCTGTAGATAATGGGTATTTTTTCTCATAGTGTTACATAAAGTGAAATTTCTTGTGCCCGAAAAAATATTGAAGCGCTCATTGAACGTTATTGCCTCCAGTGGAGTGCAGTAAAAATTTTCTACTTTGACATTATATAATTTAAACCGAATTTATAAATTTTACATTGCATTTTAACAGCTTAATGAACAAATTCAGGTGATTACTATTTATTTAGGGGTGTATTCCAATGGCGTAACACCAAAAGCCTTTTTGAAGAAGTGCTAATAACTTTTATTTTTCAAAATGTCATGATGTTGGGCAACACTGCCATTCATCTTTTATCTGGAATGTTTTTACCTTTCTCATTCAGCATTTGCGTCTTTATTGGAGATGTTTTCCAATACGTAATAGACTCTATTAAATTTTTAAACAACATCAAATAATTTACTGATTAACATTAACAATAACATTTAGGAAAACAAAAATTTGAGGACCAGTTAAATAGTTGTTCAAGAACCTTCCGAATACCGCTAGATTTCTCTTTCTATTCCGAAAATATTTTGTTTGTTTCAGATTTATTTAGCATTAATGCTACAATATCCATATTACACAGCATCTCACAAAATATATTATGTCTTCAAGACTACATATTTTTATACAAAATTTCACTACTATGAATTCTGGTTTTCCATGAGATATTTTTTCAATTTCCCTTTGGACATTTTCAAACTGACACACATCTTGATATGATTACTTAATTTATTAAATTCGTACAATCCCTTTTGAAATACTGACTTGTTCGTTATATTGCTACTGCAGTTTTGTAAATGAAAGTCTATACTTCCTCTAGTAGAATAATTGTGACACTCATTGTTCAATACAATGAAATTTTCTAAGTGATTTGGTAGAAGATGATTTTTTAGCTTGAATATGAAAATGAAAACCAAGTAGGCTATGAAATTTTTGATATTTAACCATTGAAGTTCTTTCAGCATAAAATTTATTCTAGTATATTTATTTTTATTTAAGATGATTCTCATAGCTTTATTTTGCAATTTTGAAAACACAATTTCATTTGCAGTGAACAAAATAGTCCAATATAACAAATGAGGAAGAATTATAGTGTTGTACACGATTTTTTTAGAATAAACGCTTAGGCTATGCGAAATCCTATAAAAGTAATTTATTTGCTTGGATATTTTTGAAATAACATATTCATAGTGCCCTTCAAATTTTAATTTACTGTCTACGTATATGCCCAAATATTTAAATGATCCGATTGACACAATTTTTTCATGACTAATTGTAAGATTTAATACATTTAATCAATTTATTACGTTTTTCATATCATTATTTAACAGCTCTATTGCAGTTTCAATCTCTTTATTTGATATATATATATATATATATATATATATATATATGTTATATGCACTCAAAACAATGGACTTACTATTCCATACAATGTTGCACCAGACGCTAGCTCAGCAACAGATAACGACTTCTCGCTAACACGTTGTTTACGCTTTATTTTCTAGAAGTGTTTTGTAAACACACCAATAGTATAAATAGGCCTTGCGCCCATTTCATGTCGTTCATTACCCGGCTAGGCACCGTAACAGTCACTTATGTAAACTTTATGTTCAATACCCGGTTAGACTCCGTAAATGTCACATTTGTAAACCTTTGTATGGACTGAAGCTTCAGTCCTCAAATAAAATTTTTTAAAAAGTTATTTCTAAATCTAATGATTTAAGAAATTGGTGTCAGAGAAGTGGGATAGCTTCAACGCATTAGAACACGTGCATACTAACTAGTGTGGTGGATGCCTATCCTTTAAGCTGAAAAGGACCAACGAGCCTTAAGAAGAAAGAAACCCATTGAGGAAAGAAAACTACAAGTAAGAAACTACAAAGCAACAAGAAGAAAGAAAACAACAGGGGACACAGCGAGCAGCAGCCACCCAACTGCAGACAGACTACTGGAAACATCGCAAGAGATCCACTAGCCGCCTGGAGAACACGACTGCCTCCCGATGTACCCTTGGTAACGTACAATTTTAATCTAACTATTTTTTGCGATTTATCTCTGTGTGTGTGATTTTTACATCTTTTTATTTGCATTTTTGCGCATTTACTCTATATATTGTCGATTTTCACGTATCTTTCCCCATTTTTACGTATTTTTCTATTTTACATTTATATCTTTTTGCGTTTACCCTTGACATTATTGAATCTTTTTGAAACAACTTTCCATTTAAAATGTCTACTAACGGTTCAGATGATTACCAACCAGCTGAAATTCCTGATAACGTTCATGCGAACATTGAACCTTATAGATTATCTGAAATATTTTCGATTGTACCCGAGTACGATGGAAACCCGATATTGCTATCGACCTTCATCAACGCATGCCGAACGGCATATCAAATGGCCGTCGAGGAGCAGCGGCTTCTCGTCATTTTACATATTAAAAACAAACTTCGCGGACGTGCCGCCGAACTTGTGAACAGCCGAAACCCTTCCACGTGGGAAGACATACGGTCCCTGTTAGAAACGCACTTTGGAGATCTTAGAGATCTCACATCTTTAATCGCGGATCTTCAACACATGCGCCAACTCCCCAACGAATCACCCCTAACCTTTGCATCTAGACTGCAGACGCATGCAGCCAAAATGCATTCCGCCGTGAATAGGCAAAATCTAAATCGCGAGCAAAAATCTGCTCAAAGTTCCCTCATCGAAACGATGACATTAAATTGTCTATTAACAGGATTAGACTCAAAAATAGGACCTGTTGTGCGATCAGGACATCCCACGGATATCTTGACCGCAGTTTCGTATATCAAACGAGAGTTACAACTTTCATATTTGGAACGACAAAAATTCGCCAGAGCCCCAAACCCGAATCAAAATTCAGTTATTCGAAGACCAAACCCTAAAATTTGTAATTTTTGTAATCGTCCCGGTCACTTAGCAAATGAATGCCAACGGAGACAACAGCCTACAAGCTTTGCCCCAAGACAGTTTAACCAGCCCCAACCTCAAAATTACCCTAGGCCGAATCAACCTATGCAAGTTAGACCATCTACATCTAACTACCATCAAAATTCTAATCAATATCCTCCCAGACCATCTGTAATACGACCAAATGCGCGTAACGCGAGTGCGCCAAGACCCTCTGTAATTCAGAGCAATCCAAATTTCCAAAACCCTAATTTTCAAAGAAGTTTTAGACAAAATCCTCCCAATCGAATTAATTATGTCGCCCCTGATTCTTACGATTATTCCGACTACGGTGAACCAGACCTATACAACACGGACTACGCTAATAAATATGACGATACCCAATACTCCGCCTACACACCTTCCCCATACGATGATTTTAGAGAACCCAGTAACGATTATTGTTACGAATATAATCAAACCGCCGATACATTTGTTGGTGAACTTAGCGAATCTCAGTGTCGAGGACGCGAACGCGAAACCGTGTGCGAGCGTCAGCAACACATGCGATCAGATGTTCATATAAACCCTCCGTTTATAGTCCCGTCGACAATTCACCCCGTTAGCCCAGATAACTTATATTACATTAAAGATGCTACTGGAAAATTCCAAATTCTCATTGACAGTGGTGCAGGTTGCTCCATTTTCAAACGTAACACTTGTCAAAATTATACTAATCGTGTCGCAGAAAATATCTCTATCCGAGGTATTACTGACGAAAAAATTAGTATTACTGAAGCAGTCTTAGTCCCATTTGCTCCCAATGATTATCACAAAATTTATGTCCATGATCTAGATATTTCATTCGATGGCCTTCTTGGGTCAGATTTTCTTGAACATTATGATTGTATTATTGATTTGAAAAATCGTCAATTGATTACAAATTTCAAAACAGTCCCTCTTTTCAAAGTAGGTGACGAAAATAATTCCAAAGCTTCTCAATTTAAAGAAAAGTCCCAATCTTCGCAATTTAAAGAAAATTCTCAAGTTCAAAATGTTATTTCCATTCCTCCCAGAGTTGAACAAGTTGTCAAGCTAGAGGAGTACGACTATGAAATAGTGTACAAGCCAGGCAAGGCTAATAAAAATGCCGATGCCCTATCAGGTATCAAATTACCCAAAACTGTTAACGCCCTTACCCATAGTGACGAAGAAGGAGAACCTTCTACCCAATTTTCCGAAAGTGAATTTGATATCTTTGCCCGCCTTTACAAAACCACATCCCTGATCGATTATTCCAAAATTCAATTTTCAAATTCCCAACTCCTAGACAAAAGTCATAAACATATCGTCACGTTTTTCAGACAAAACACTCTATCTGATCTTCACGAAAAAATTATCGAAGACATATTCGAGGAAAATCTTGATTTTTCTGCAGATAAAATTAACATCGCGTCTAGCAAAACAATTAAAGATAGGAAATACTATATTATTCCTGTGCCATACGATCCCGTAACTTGCATACAGCATCTTTTCTCTGTAATTTTAACCAACAAAGGTGTATTCGACCTATCCCAACAAATCTACGTTGAAAATAATTT